GCTGTTTCATATATTTTATCCAGTTTTCCTTTTTTCCTTCTTTCTTTGTGTGTGTGTGGGGGAGGTGGGGGAATCATGTGCACTTCCAGTTACTCCATGGCCAGAATAAGAAAGTTTTAAAAATATGTCAGTGGTTTACCATTGATACCTTATGGTTAATTTCAAACTCTTCAGAATAAAATAAGACTTTTATGATCTGGCTCCAGTCTACCCCTCTAATCTCATATATGGTTGCTTTTTTATTAAATGTTTTGTTCCAGCCATGATGAATAACTTAATCTTCCAAATGTAAACATTTTTGTGCCTTCATATGTTTGTACATACACATTCCTTTTTTAAAAAATGTTTTTCCATTGACCTCCTCATTCCCTGAACTGTGTTCATTTCTACTACTGAAACTATCATAGTCTATTATCACTATATAATTTTGTATTTCTCACATTGGACTATGAATTCTATGTGTGATCTCAGGCACATCAAACTACCTCTTCTATAAATAAATACCTTCTTCTATAATATAAATATTGGAGACTAGGTATTCTTAGAGATCCTTTACCTCTCTAAAATTGTAAAGAAACTCAGATTATTTAAAATTTAGTATATTTTCAAGGAAGCTATCCTAAATGTTTAATTTTAAATGTTTAAAAATACAACTTAAACTCTGTATCTTTCATTAAGGATTCACCTTAGATTTATAATCCAAATCATAAAAGTCACTTAATCATTGTAGGTAAAAGAATTATTTTTGCCTTTAGAAGAAGCCAATATTATTTGATATTTGGTAACTACAAAGGGGGCAAAAAAATCTGTTAAATTTTTATCTCTGTCTATAGGTTATCCTGTTAGATGAAGGCTTTTATAAAAGAGCAATGGTTTATTGTATTAAAACAAAAGACCCACTAAATGAAAGAATAAATGAAGAGATTTAGCTAGAGATACCAATGTGATTGTGATATTCTAGTAATTTCTCATTTTCTTCTTTTTATTATCAAATACCAATGAAGGAAAAAACATAATTTGTAGACTATATATGCTAGCATACTAATTACATAGCTTTAGAGGCAGTTGATTTTAAATTTGAACTTTTAAATTAAAAGCCATTAATTTACTTATGGAATAAATATCAATCCAGAGCCACAGAGAAATAAATCCTAGTTAACACAAATAAATATAATAAATACTAAAACCATTTTCAAAATATTAAGGGCAAACAGCATTTTTTTCCATAATAAATTCAGGAAATGTACATAATGATCTTGTCAAGCAGTGGTTTAAGACATGATATTAGTGTGGAGTTAAGGAATGAAAGAGAAGAAAATGAGAGCAGAAAATTGGGAAGAAGAAGGGGAAAGAGAAAGATAAGAAAGAGGAAGAGAAGTATAAAGAGGGATGAGGAAAAAGAGGTGGAATAGAGAGAAAAGAAGAAGAAAGGCAACAGAGGCCTACAAGAAACAGTTAAAGTAAAAGACAAGAAACAAATATGCATATAAACTTAAGCAGAAAGGCAAAAATGAAAATCTAAAAAGTAAAAAGAAAATGACAGCAATACAAGACAAAGGACTTTTGAAATATTAACTAAGTAAAATTTTACATACTCATATGATATCTTTGAGAATTTTAATGGAGGATTTCTTTTTCAGCATAAAAGTAGTATGTTTAATGTAAAGGAGTAAGAAAATACTAAAGAAGAATGAATAAGAACAACAACAAAATCACCTGAAAGACTGCTAGGCAAATGCAAGAACTTTTAACATTTGCAATTATTGTCTCCTAGCATTTTATTTTATTTTTTTTTTGGAGACAGTGTCTTGCTCTGCTCTGTTGCCCAGGCTGAAGTGCACTGGCATCATCACAGCTCATTTCAACCTCAAAATTCTGGGCTTAAGCAATCCTCTTGCCTCAGCCACCCAAGTGGGACTACAGGCTCCCACCACCATGCTCGGCTAATTTTTCCATTTTTTTGTAGCTATGGGGCCTCGTTGTTGCTCAGGCTGGTCTCGAACTTCTGGCCTCAAACAATCCACCCATCTCAGGCTCTCAAAGTGCTAGGATTACAGACATGAGCCCCCATGCCCAGCCTATTCTTTCATTTTTATATGCACTTTCAAATAGTTTTGTTCAAGTGGCAAAAACCTTTGGACTACTTAATTACTTAGAAAAATAGTTTAAACATTTTTTAATTGACCTTTATAAACATATTTTTTATTTTTAATCCTAGTAGGAAACTGATGGCACTCTTCAATGAGAATAATTTGACAGGATTTTACTGAAAGGACAAATTACAGGTATGGACAATGGGTAGGAGACTCCTAAGGAATTGTATAGTAACCCAAGGCTTATGGCAGTGGCTAGGCCTAAAGGTCAAAGGAAAAGATCTCCTTTCAGCCAAGGGTCATAGCCAACTTGTGGTGGCTCCACAGGGACAGGGAAGGTGGAATAGGTAACCCAAATCACTTTCCTCCCTCTCTCCAGTTGCCTACAGAATTCCCTTTGGTTGAATCCAATTGTCAGCCACTGGGGAACACAGGCTAAGATGTCTAAGACAGAGTATGTGGAAGAAAAGAATTGAGAGTTAAAAGTGGTTCTAGGAGAACAACTTCTAAATATCCAGGGCACTGGGTAATATCCCATTGAAATTTATTTACAAACACATTTTTTGTTATTTCTAATGTCTTTTACTATTATCAACAGCTTTGATATAATATTCTCTATGTACAATTATTTCCTCAGTATAAACCACCAAAAGGAAAAAATACATATAAAAGATTTGTCTTATGACTGAGTTATTTTTTTCAATATATTTGTTACAATTTATATCTCTATCAGCATGTTATAAAAGCCTCATTATATCCTTATTACTAATGTAAATTTTTTATGCTATTAATTTGTTAGGAAAAATTACATGGCAGTATTTTACTCTGTATTTCTTTGAAAACTATAATACTAGATTTAAAGGTTTTCCACATTTATTAAATATTTTAATTTTCCTTTTCTCAATTTTCTCCTCATCCTATTCTATTTCATACAGCCCCAAAATGAATTATGACTGTGTACTTGCTTTCATTAACTCAAAGATTTAATTGCCATTGAATATAAATTTTATCATCCTCAGTAATTGTCATTTGAAAAGAAAATTAAGCACCTGACTGCTGTTTACAGCCCTGTTTTTGTTTTCATTGATCCTGAGGCAATGAAGGTTGGCTTCTGAATGGAAAAATCAGAAAGATTTCCCTTAGATGGAAATGTTTATAATTTGCAGCAGAGGTTATTAGGACAAAAAATTGACTTGTAACTTGTAGAATAAAATTAAATTAAATTCAGATTGGAAAAATTTTAAATCATCCTTTGTTGATGACAGAATATGCAAGGTAACACAAATAGTTATGTATTGTGTGTCTTAGATGTCCTGAGTATATCTTATCCTCACTGCAAATTCATTTGCTTCATTGCTTAGGAGGAAATTGATCCTAGGAGAGATTAACTAACTTGTCTTAGATCCCACAGTATGTGGGATATAAATTAGTGATGGACCCATTTTATACAGATTTTTCTGTCTATAAGATTCAACTTTCTTTACATTTTATCAACCATACTGTCTATTATCATTCTTGTTGTAGTGTTAATATTGAAGAGATTAACTTGCTTTATCCATGTAACAAAAACACTTGTACCCCCTTAATATTTTGAATTTAAAAAAAAAACAAAACACAGTACTCTTGGGGAGAAAAAAAGATTTATACTGAATACAGGAATAAAAGAATAGACCCTAAAATATGTGCTACACTATCTCCCAGCCACACAAAAATCCAATATAAATTTAGAAATTTGTCTTTTTCTAGGGCAGGCATTAAATTTCCATATGGGAGTATTTGAGGAGCATAAATGTTCTTTGTTTTCTCAAAATGACATTTATTATTCAACCTCACACTTTTTTACTTATATCTCTTTTAAGTCAAGACCACTAACTAGGACTCCTACTTAAATATAAATGTGTGATGCAAGAAACAAGAACACAATAGAAAAAGGTGCCGTCATATTGTAGCTAATTACAAACCCTATTCTGGGATCAGACTGCCTTATTTGATTCCTGGTTCTGCTATTTATTAGTTTGACTTTGGCCAAGTTATTTAACCTCTCTGTGACTCAATTTTCTCATCTGTGAATGGGTGTCATTAAATTAACCATCTTCAGGTGTGTTCTGAGGATTAAATGAGTCAATAAGTATGATTCTCATTATTAAATTATAGTAGTTTATGTTAAATAATTTGAGCATAAGATCATTGATTAAGCGAATCTAAAATAATGAAAGAAGGAAACAAACAAACAAACAAACAAAAAACAACGCAGGAAGCAATTTGGCTATTCATTTTTAAGATTAGCTCAGCCACATATATACTTATCTACTCTACTGTAAGTTCTTAATCACAAAACTGTCTTATCAGTGTAGCCCGAGACTCTGTCACATTGCTTGATAAAGTGCTCACTCAATAAGCACAGGAAAGTTGAATGTATATACAAATAAATAAATGTATAAATAAATAAATATATATATATATAAAACTAGAAGACTCTGGATATTTGGAATAAACAGGATAGAAGTTATATAAAATAATATATTTTTCATAATTTTACCATATGACCACAAAAGGCATTATTCTAGGAGAATAACTTATATGAGGCCGAGAAAAGAATGAACCAGAGCACTAAAAGGCTAGTAGGTTGAAATGTATCTGCCCCATCAACCACTCTTCTTTCGATTTAGGTACAATAGATATCCTTTTTCGGACAGATTCAACTCCTGCTGTAACATGGCTCATACCACTTGCTTTATTGTTTCTCCTAGATATAAAAGATCAAATTGATGCTGTCTGCATAGCTTTCCCAATGTTGGGGATTCTTTTGAAGAAGGTTCTATAAAGTATGACCCTCAGAACAAATACTGTAGTGCCTAAGGTCAATGCCAGCCATCACTATTGTGAACTGTCTTCTCATATACTCACTTGCTGGGTTGTCTGTGCTGTGTAGGCTGACCATTGGGACTCTTGGACCTGGAATTAAAAAAAAAAACACATATATACATACATACATATATATATAAACATTTTTAAAGATACCCAAGTAATAATTATTAGAAAGGGTACATAGTAGAGGTTTTTTTTTTCAAATGGAAGCATTTTACAGTTAAAACAAAACAAAACAGAAACCAGATGACTAGATTTCATTCCTGTCTATGGGTTTTTTTATTCAGAAAAATAAGGACATACGTGCAGTTTATTGTTAAGATGCCCTCATCCCCACAAATGCCCTATACTTCTATATTTCTACGTTTGTAGCCAATCCTATGTGCTTTACTCTCTACCTCTAGTCTTTTATAGAATCATTACCAACAGAAAGCTGTTCACAACCCTTTACCCCTGATCCACTGATCCAAGATTAAATTCTATTTACCACTCAGCCAAAAAAGGAAGAATGAATGCATATTTGGAATATTTCATCCACAAGATAAATCAAAATTGGGGGCTACTTATTAGTTTTAAAACTATATTAACCAGAATCTCCAATTATTTAAAATATACTAGTTAATTTGTTACTATAAGATATTATCTTGAAATTTCACATCTCTAAAGAACCTTATTTAAAAGTCTAATGTTTTTTCCCTGGTTCAATTCATCAAGTACTTCTTTTATTGATTATTTCATTTCAGATATCAAGAGAAAAAATAACTTCAAAAGGCAAGTGGTACTATATTACTTCTTTTGTCTTAAAAAAGAACAGTTTAAGGTACCAGCTGAAGTAGTAGCACTTGATTCATCACATTATAAGAGTGTACATGAATTCCATTCCATCTCTGGGAAATACAGTATCATATTAAATGGAAAATGATTTCTATGAATATATCACAGAGATACTGGACAACCAGGTAAGACTATAGCATATTCTTACAAGATAGAAAAAGTAAGAGTGGTGGGAATGCAATTGCTCAGAACTGAAGAAGGCTGGAGCAGGGAATTCAATTTCCAAAGATCCTAAATCTCTTAACAATCAAGCCATTATTTTAATAAGAAGACTGTTGCCTTTCCTAAAGACTATGTGGATTAGTTCATTTTTGTGGTGTGCCATGGCCCTAGTGATAAAATATATTTCTTCACCTTTTTAAAATGCTCACGTTCAAATCATTGAACATATGTACATGTTGCTTTACTTTCAATTTTTATTTCTAAATTAATATATGAGTAAGATTTGTATCTTAATAAATCTATAATTTTTAACAAAAACTTACAAATTAAAAACATCAAGTTATATAGTGAGAGTAACAGTTCCTCATAGTAATAATAGAGTAATACTGATCAAATAAAATGATATAATAGGTTCTATCAGAAGTCATATATTATCTGCCAGACCACCGGAGTTCTAAAAAAAAAAAAAAGAAGTCATATATTATCGTACCTTCACATATTAATAAGAAATGTTGATTCATGGGACTAAAACTGGCATCAAAATATGTACATTGTTCTTTCATAAAATTACATGAAATGCATTGGCGATTCAATAATCCTTCAGTGGAAGCACTGGGGAAAGAAAAAGAAAGTTTGAAATGTTACCATTCCAGGCACTTGAATGTGTGGCATCCATATTTAAATATAACAAACAGAGGAGCTACATCAGTGCTTGCATAGAATTTCCTTGTAAATTATGACTCACCATACACATGCAAAATGTCTACTTTCATTATTAAGACATACACTTTTTCTTCTCTGTAATAAAAATAAAATTATGTATACCTGTATGTATATCACATATACATGTTTATGTTTGTGTGTATTTATATATATTAGTATGGCTATAAATATGCCGATTTCCATGGGACTCAACATCACTTATTGTTATAATATTTGCATTTTCCTTATAGATATTTTTGTGTAAAGCCTTAAAGGGAATTTCCCACAGAAGCTAGGACTAAGTAACCGTCAATAAATATTAGTTGAAAGAAGTAATAAATGTTTCCAGCAGTCAAACAAAAATCAAACTCATGATCTTCTAAATTAAACATTCTAAATATTATTAATATAATTTGGTATTCATGTCAAATTTTTCTGCCACATATTTGCATTCATTTTAAATTATTTTTAATACTTTAAGTATTTCAAATATTATAATCATTAAAATTTAACTAATTTTAATTATTTTTAATAATTAACTTGCATTAATTATTTGTATATTATACTACATACAATGCTAATGATAATACATACTTTGAGATATTGAGATAAAGAGAAAAGTGATTATCATCTTTATTTTATAATAATGGTCAGAGGGGTTGAGATATTTACCCAAGGTTAAATTTCATATATGAAATTGCTTATTTTATTAATGTAAATAAATCTGAATGCAAAATTACCTATGCCAATGGATGAAAACACAGTGAGGATGCATGCAAAAAGTTGATTGGATAAGGTTCTCAATTGCATTTTGGAACAAAACATGATTTTGACTATATATTTATAAACGAATAATTGTCATGTTGATTTCAATGTGCAATATGCTGTTGACATGGGGGGGGGGACGGGTATTTAGGCAGATACCAAAAGCCCCAAAAGCAATTGAGGTTAAATGTTAAGTAGAGTTCACAAAATCACAATTTTATGTTTGAAATATTGCGAGCTTGGTTATAGTCCAAGATTTTCTTTTAATAGTAAAAGCAAGTAGTAAATACTAGACCTTGAAACAGATTAGCTAGTTTCACTCTTATGATAACCTACAAGGTAATCATACCAAATTTTTTCTCTTTGTAAAATTGTGGTAAAATGTGCACAACATAAAATTTGCCATTTTGACCATTTTGAAGTGTACATTTCGGTTTCACTAGTTGCATTCACAATATTGTATAACCATCACCACAAGAGAGGCTTAGAAATCATCACAGTTGCTATTCAGTCTCATATTAAGATTTAAAATCTTTCTCTTTCTACTCTTCCATAAAGGTTTCAGATCCAAGTTCCCTGCAGATTTATGTTGGTGTTTTCTCATTATTTAGATTATGAGATTGCTGAAATAAAGAAATGCAAATTTTGAGACAAAAAATAATTAACAATGAATATGGTAATAGTTCTGATTCTACAGGGTGTCTAATGCCATACATTGTCAACGAATGATCATTTTTATAGCCTGGGAAAGACACTGATTGCATTTTCTGGGTCAAACACTAACATTATCTTACCATCAAGCCAAGTAGGATTTGATGAGCTATTTAAGGGGAAATTTATTGGTACTACATTTTCTTTATGATGCAGTCGGCTACACTAGTACAGGTCAGAGATATATGGACTGTTCTGTCTCAGTCACTAGAGACATAAGACATGGCCACAAATCTAAAGAGTCATTGTGATTTCTTCCCCTAATAAGGGGAAGAAAAATTGAGGCAGTTGCTTTTGCTGAACTTGACCAAGCTTAATATTCTGACACTGTCACTTTTTTCTTCAAGAGTTTTATAAAGTATTGATCAATATTTCTACATCTCTAAAATATTGTTCATGGCTAACAATATCAATCATAATATATGTTTCAAGAAAGATAAGCTTCAGGTCACCAAAAAGGAAAAGTGATCAGTACTTCAGTCATGACCTCTAAACCAAAATTTTAATCAGTATCTCTAAATAAATAGCTTTTCTTTCTCTGGACGTCATTAGAATTGAGAACATGGGTTTCAAGAGGTTCAAGAGACTAAACTAAGAACATAAAACTGATATATTGAGAGAGGTGATAAAAGAAGCTTGCTTCAGATGAAAGTAAATTGTGCATAAATAAGAGTGTGTGGGTAAATTAGAGGCAGTTAGGGTACTTCAAACATGCTTTTTTACTCTCAAAGGAAAGTCTAGGTTTCTTGGTACGAATTAGAGGTGACACTTCTTCAAACATAACGAATTTCAACTGAGAATATATCATGGCAGTTTTGATACTTTAAAAATGGATCTGTGAAATGGAAATTAGAACATGTATATAAAGTCTAGAATTAATAGGTTTTTTGCCAGCCAAAAACAAAAGTCATTCTTGTGAGGTCCTGGTGAAAGCTGTCTTAGTGAGGAGACATTATAATAATAAACAGGCACGATTTTAAGCCCTTTTTATGAATATAGCTTTGCATTTGGGAAAATTGGGCAGATGCAAATATTCCCTATACACTGACTTATTTTAGTAAGCAATGAACATTCCTTATTTAGATAATGATGCCTCCTCCTAAAACAACTCATTGGATTTTATGAACTACAGACAAAAAAAAAAAGAAAGCTTCTACTTGATACACTTGACTAAGTGTTCACAATGCCATTATGTTGTTTTAGAATAAATTTCACATGTGTCACATTAATGCACTGAAAATTCAAAAAGAGAATTAGCAGAAGAGGCCGCAGGGAATCATATGTAAATGCCTCTGGTATGGGGGAGTTGAGAGAAGCAAGCCACACACACAAAAAAAAGGCTATTTTGAAACTGCAAAAGCAGGTGAAGCAAAAAACAAGAAGGGAACAGCAAAGGAGAAAGTGATCTCCACCCAGGCTCCACTAGAGCCAAGGGTCTGGACCAAGAGTGTGAGGCTTTGTTATACAGACTTCGCTGTCCCCTCGCCATACTGAAATGACACATCAGATTTTTCCATCCCTTGTTTATGTTGCGTAGAAGGCCATTGAGAAGCCAACCTGTGTAAGGAAGTCCTTTCTCACTACTCACCTGTACAGCTGCCTCCCTCTGGGAGAAGACTCTGTGCTCAGAAAGTAACTGTGCAAGAAAGAAAACCACACAACCAACCGTTAGACATGGATCTATTTTGTTATGCTGAGTTTTCACCTGCATTTGTTTCCCAATTGTTGAAAAACAGGCAAAAGCTGTTTTGTTATTAAATTACAGGGCTATGATCCATCTGGGAAACTTTTTTTTAACCTAAGATCACCCCTTTTCATAATTTCTCTCAATTTCTCTGCATGCGTGTGTTGTATGTGTTGTATGTGCGCGTGTGCATCTGTGTAAGAAGTCTTTGTGTGAAGTGCAGAGGATGTCTTTAAAAAAAAACTTTATTCTTTCTGTGGGTGGCTTGTTTTGACTAGGGCTATGGTAAGCAAAACATAATTCTGGTAGAAAAGATCGCATTTGACAACCCTGACTTTCAGTCTGACTGGAGAACAGAAAACACTCACATTTTTTGACTAGTTTCATCGTATGCCAAGATCTTTATCACTTCCCAGTTTCCTGATGTCAGATGCCGCACGGTAATTTGCTCACTTTTACTCTGCAAAGAAATAGAAAATATTGATTTTCTTTTTATTTAAACAGCATCTCTCCAGTAAACACGAAAGTACCAACTGCCTGTGCCACTTTTGATTCTTTAATTCACAGCTACGGTTCGGTTTTCTGTTCTAAATCTCAAGGATGCGCATGGATTCCTATAAACACAAACCCAGATAAAATGGTGCCTTTATTTCTGTGCTATAGGAAAATAATTCAGAAAACTCCTTCAGGTGAGAATACACCAAGGGCACTATCGTGACAGCAGCATTTGGCACCACCCTACGACTTCTCATCTAAATGGCCGGCTGCTGTGCAGTTTGGACAGCTTTAAAGAGAACATTTCAGAATAAACTTGACTCCACATAAATACTCAGTGTTACATGCTTTTTAGCTTTTGCAGTATGAGAATTACTATAAGGTTTTCTGTTTTTACTCAACAATTTGTTTCTGAGATGAATCCATGTTTATGTCTATAGCCACAGTTTATTTTCATAGCTATATGGCATTTTATTGTAATAATTTATGTTCTAGCATTCAAGTTGTTTCCAAATTTTTGATCTTGAAAACAATTTGCCTATGAACATTTTTATTAATGTCTCCTGATGTGCATGGCAGGGAGTTTTCTGAGACAAACACCTGGGAGGGGATTTCTTGGTAAGAGGATATGCATGTTTTCTACTTAACTAGTGTCGAATTATTTTCCAAAGTTGTAGCAATTTATAGTCTACTAACAATAGGAGTAGATATATGCATTGTAATATCTAACTTTTTTCCTATAGGGTCCTTAATTTCTATCACTACTTTACACCTTTCCCTTACCACCAATATTCCAAGAGATACTTCCCCCTATCATTTTTTCTGTCTCTCTCTTAGATGGTAATTTTAAAAACTGTTATTTCTGGCTTTGTGTGTGCTCAAGCTATCCCATTTTGATTCTTTATCTCAATGCTGATTTTAAAGGGAATGTTACATTGTCAATTATGATATATTAATGAAACTTAAGATGAGTGTCTTTATCAGCTTAAAGAATTTCTTTTTATTCCTAATTTCTAACGTTTTTGAATATTATTTTATAAAACTTAATGGATCCTATCTGTATCTATTATTATGATTATAATTTTTCTCATGAAGATGTAAATACAGTGAAATATCTCAATATCTCATAGATGTTTAAGTTTTAAGCAAATTTAGCATTTCTGTGTTAAAAATAATAGTTACGTTTTTAATGAATCAAAAATTCAATTTGCCAATATTTTGTTTAGGATCTTTTAAATTTCTTTCTCATACTGTCCTTTCTCATATTGCCTTAGTCTGTTTTTAGTACAAGATGATGATATCTACCTCATAAAATGTATTTTAGAATATGACATCTTTTTATATTCTCAGAAAGTGTTTCTATAAAATTGGAAATGTATATTCCTTGAATAGTTGTATAATCCACCCTTAAAATCCATCTCTGCCTGATGTTAAATAAAACACTAATTTCGTTTTCTTAATACTATGGAACAAAACAGATTGTTTCTTAAATCAGATTTGATGTTTTTTTCTAGAATTTACCCATTTTTCCTAAGCCTTCAAATTTGTTGACATAAAAATATTCATAACATTCTTTTAACATTTTAAAATCTATAGTTTTGCCCTCTTTCCACTGCTTATACTTTCTTATACTTTGGTACTTTCTCAATTTTTAACTAACCTCAATAGATACCTTTTTATTTTATCTATGCTTTCTAGCTTGTTAATTTCATTTCTTTCATTTCTCATTTCCTTCCTTCTACATTTGAATTTGTTCTGCTCTTTTTCTAGATTCTAACATTGGATGCTTATATATATATGTATATATACATATACACATATAAAATCAAATATTATATGTATGTTTAATTAAATGCTATAAATTTTACCATAATTACTATTTATATGTATCCCATATATTGGAATATATAGTATTTTTGTTTATTTCTAAGTATTTATTGATTTCACCTTGAGTCCATGAATAATAGAGAAATTATATTTTATTTGCACATATATGGCTTTTTAAAAGTTACAAAATTTTTTGCTGACTCATAATTTAATTGCATTATTTTCAGAGAATGTAATCCATTACCTTCTAATGCCTTTTAATATAAATATATCTAGAATCTAGTTTCATATGGAAGAATTTTATTATAATATATATTATGTATTTACATATATATAATATAATATATATTATAATCTACTTTCCCATACTAAAGTATAAACTTAAGGAGCATTTTATACTCCATTATGTATACATAGTATTAGAATCTTCTTTCAAAAAAAATATGTCTTATTGGTATGCATCTGCATTCCAACATCTCCCTAAATATTCTTTTCCTCGTTGTTAAAGGAAGTTCTCTAGACTTCTAGTTGTTTAAGTTCAACAAGCATGTGGCTTCTTTATATCAACTTCTTTGAATACTGTCTGATGCATGACTGTGATATACAAGTATTTGTTGACTAAAGGTATAAGTGCAAAGATGAGACCCAGTTTGTGAGATATGAGAACTGCACAACCCAAAGGCTGGCACAGAGTTCTGACACTCAAGGTTTCATTGCCAAGTTTCTGCTGGACAATAATTCAGTACCTGGCTCCCCTTACTCATTTTCAGGCCCTGCTTTGAATGAGCCAATGAGGACAGGATGCTAAAATTTCAAGGTTTTAGTACATCTTTGGCATCCATTTCAAGATGAAAAAAAATCTCAAAAAATAAAAAAAATGTGGCCAGATGCAGTGGCTCATGCCTATAATCCTAGCACTTTGGGAGTCTGAGGTGGGAGGATCACTTGAGGTTGGGAGTCTAAGACCAGCCTGAGCAACACAGTGAGACTCCTTCTCTACAAAAAATAGAAAAATTATCCAGGGATGGTGGTACACATCTGTAGTCCTAGCTATGCAGGAAGCCGAGGCAGGAAGATGGCTTAAGCCCAGGAGTTTGAGGCTTCAGTCAAATATGATGATGCTACTGCCCTCCTGCCCAGGCAACAGAGTGAGACCCTGTCTCCTAAATAAATGAATGAATGAATGGAAGACAATTTGCCTACTATTTGTAAATAACTGGAGATACTTTTTGTTCACAGATTTCTAGGTTGACTATTTTCCCTGTTGTTTAGGGAATGTTGGTGTGTGCGTGCACACGTGCGTGTGCTCTGTGTGTGTGTGTGTGTGTTTGTTTTAAAGAAAAAGAGTTTCTGGAGTAAAATGGTCATGAGAAAAAAATCCAGTGCTTGTAAAATGTTGAATACAGTGTACAAAAAATAAAATAATATTATATACTTCAATGATCTATTTGGTCCAAAATATTATGGTTCTAAATGTAGGATCAAAGTATCTCATGTTGAAAGCCTTAATAACAACCTCACAATCTTTTCATTTTATTTTAAATTTCCATAATTGCTTGGTTGCTTTTTCTTTACCAGGGCAAATACAGGCTAGGGAATAAGTTAAACTCCCATCAAATATTATATAATAGCATGCACTTGTTTTCCAATTATATATATCAGTATATCATAGCAGTGAGCACATTAATTTTGATCTAGACTCTAGGTAAACAATCCCCATACCAATCAGAATATGGTAGATGACTACTAAATAGGTCAACAATAAATATCAAGGTGTTAGGTAGTTAGCAGGAAGTCCAGGTCTCCTAGGGATGAAAGTTTGTGCCTGGCCTTGGTGCAATTGCCCCATCTTGCAAGAAGGACAGAGGTAGGCTCCTGGCCTCCATTTTGGTCCTGCCCTGCCCTAATCCTTCTCTGAGCTACCGCCATACCTGGAGGGGGAGGAGACTGGAGAGAGGGGGTAACACCCTATGAATCTGCCAATCAGAACTTAGCATGCCAACTGCACAAGAATGCAGAGGACTTGTCTAACCCATGGGCTAAGCAGCATAGATACAATACAGTCTGGAAAGTGACTGAGAATCCACATGTGTAGTAAGACTCAGGTCATGCAACTCCCAACTGTCCAATCGAAGTGATTCCATGGTGACATCTGAACAATGGGGAGGTCCCTATCCAGATATTTAAAACAAGACCCAGACCATAACCAAACTCTCTTTATCTGCTGCTACAAAGGGTCTGGTTGTCATCTGTGGTGTATGTATCTTGAGTTGTAAACCTGTGTCTTGCTCTTGCTCTATAATCCTATCTTGCTGTCTCTCAATAAATGTCACCTCATTCTTGCCTTACTTTGGTATGTCTGGTCATTCTTCGGCCATGAGCCGAGAACACAGATCAAGACTAAACCTGACAAAGGGACTTGACTAGATTTCACAAGGGAGTGTTTGTATTTCAGTTAGATCAGACTCCTAAAGCAGAAATAAAATCATAGGAAAAGTCATGTAACAAAGCAGAAAAGAACAGGTATTTTTATACCACAGTAACATTTTTTTTCTTTCTATGTATCCTTAATTTCTATTATATTAACTTGGCAGAATAGAAACACTGAGTATGAGTACAACCATAGTAAATTTTTAATACAGGCAATATGACAATATAATTTAAATTATACTCATACTTCAATTTTAATTTTAGGATAAAAAGCAATAAAACTAGTGATTTTCTTCATTCTTAAAAGTGGGCTAAAAATCTATAAAGGAATAGTTTTATTTGGACATTAAACATCAGGCATCCCTCCTTGAATTGGTGGAGATCTTATCTTACTCAAAGAAGTCAAATATTAATTTTATATTTCTATTTACAAATTGGAAACACATTGCATGTACTTTTTACCTGATTACACCCTGTTCATTCAAATTTCTTACATTAAATTTTGTTTAACTTTTACAGCTTCAAAATAAGGGAAATGCTATAGTGCTTAAAAATAGCATGCTTTAATTTACTGTCTATTCATTGCATAAGATGAACTAATTGTGTTCAGACAATGTCCTAATCAGATACAGCGATGAAATTTAATGAAATAGTTTTATTGGGTTGATTAGGTGGTAGAATTGTGAATTGGGGGCATGCTATTTTCTACAATATTTGTAATGAATCACAGCACTTAAACTTGTTCCATGTGAAATCATCAACCTCGTAGGCAAAACTTTGTGTTGCCGAATAGAGAAAGTGAATAGATTCACCAACATATAATTTTTCATTTAACACAATTTTGGAAGATGACAGGCAAATCGTTCCACCCATAAATCTGAACCACTGAACATAATGAAAACTCTGCTTACCCCATATTTGAGAGGAAAAGGTGGCCATGCCTTTGATAAAAACCTGTCTCTTAACTACAGCCCGAATTGCAGAATTTAGGATTCTACAGTTTCAGAGATGGGGATTCATTAGTTAGAATTCTACATAACAAATATTTTAGGGGGAGGGAATGGGAGAATACTGATGCAATCAAAAGTTTAATGGTCTAAGGTAAAAAGTTTTGCCTTAGTGTATGATTCAGGAAGTATGTAAACTAATATTAATATAAATATGGAACACTCTAGAATAATTATTTTAGCTATATAAATTTCCAGAAAAGCCATAGTTTTATTTAATATTATCTTTAATGGAATATATGGAAACAGAGAAAACACTAGAGAATTTGGCTTTCACATGTTCATATGGAAAGTAACCTGGAAATATATATATATATTCCAGAAATATGTGGGCTTAGAAATATTTTACTTTTGAACCAGGACATTCAGTTCTATTAATCAATACTAAAGAAATAATCCATAATGTAAATAAGCTTTATGTACATGACATTTATAATTATAACAAATTTCCCCTAAAGAAAACATTGAACAATAAATAATTATCTATGTATATCCAGCTAACTCAATATTAATATTTTTCAAAATTATTTAGCATTATGGAAAAGTATGCCTTTAAAGCTAAGTTTAAATTTAAACTATCAGTCTTCAAGCTTTAGGTTTGTGAAAAAAAAAAAATTTAAACTATCAGGATGCAATATTGTAGTTTACATAAAATGACAATCATGTTTAAAAGGAGAAGACTCAAGGAAAACATATGAATTCATTCTCTTTTTATCTTTGGAATCACTTTAACAAGGATAGCTTTTATAAATAAGAAAAAACATTAAAATATAAGCAATGACAACCATAATTCTCCATAATGAAAATAACCTGAAAGCAATAATTTTGTAGTTTGGTCTCTAATGAATGTTTTTTATTTACTTACTAATTGCATAAGAAAGCAAAATATTTGCAAAAATTTACTAATTTTATTTAGTAAGGCACTTCACACAAATAAATACATTCTTAGTGAACCAGGAAGCTCTCAAACATACCTAAGCCTCAAATACTGCAAAGGTGGTCTTGCTAACTGTGGGCTGCCAAGGCACACGTCGTGTCATTTCTCTCTTTATGGGCATGTCAATTTTAAGTGGAATAATGTAAAATAGCAAGGGAAGGAAGAGGAGTTAAAAGTCATCAATGTTGGCACTCACTACTTTTTAACTGCAAATTACTATGCTGTTTTTTGGAGACCCAATTTGGTGCTATATATCAAAACCTAAACAAATGCATACATATACATATGCTTTGCATGGGTATCTTTTAACATCTAGAAATGTAATTCTGTGGTAATAATTAGAAATAGCAAAACATATTTATGTCCAAAAGTGTTTACCTTTGAATTATTTCTAATACCAAAAAATAGAAATGATCATAATGATGAATAAAATTGGATCATTTAAGTACAGTATATCTATTTGATGTAATGTTGATCAGCTATTAAAATCACATTTAAGAAAAATATTAAATGTCCAATATTCAGAATACAATTAAATGATGTGAGAAAATGATCACAAGTTATTCTTTAAATGTTACCAATATATATTATGTTATATTTGAAATCCATAAGGGAAATTATATATCTTCATGGAAAAAAGAATTAAAAATATACACACTAATTGATTAAAAGTATGAGAATGTGAGATGGTAAGATTGGGGGTGATTTTACATTCTCCTTCATTCAGCTTATTTACTTTGAATTGTTCAAAATTTTATAGTGTGTATATGCCAATAAAGCAGTCCTAAATGATTCATAAATTTCCTAAAATAATGTATACCTGTATGTGTTTGTGTGGCTATAAACTTAGGTATAAATTGTATTTACCTAAGCACTGACCCCTGACTCATTAACAAAGTAGACTAATTTTAGTCAATTGACACAGTATCCATAAATAATCAAGCAGTTATGTTCACTTCTTTTTTCCCCCATTTATTTTTGTATTTGTATATATTCATGGGATACAAGTGCAATTTTGTTACATTGATATATCTCATTGTGGCAATGTCAGTCTCATGTTCATTTCTCAGTGAGACAAACTACAAATTTCCTGAAGAGCAACCAGAATAGAACAAACATTTTCTACTTCAATGAAAACTTTGTCATAGTCTCCATGTAGAAGATGAACAAATAAACACATCTATTCTTTGAAGTTGCTAAAGAAATGCATGTCAGCCTGCTTTGGATTAGAAACAGAATGTATTTCTTCCCAAGGCTTATAAAGAACTCTTCATTAGGTTTGTAAAGATTTAAATCCTATGTGCCAATGTCATAACCCCACCTGCTACTATACTTTTTAAAAGACACTATTTCCCTTCCTAATTCGTGGAATAGACTGTCTTCTTTTTGAAATGGTATATATAAAGATGTATGGTACATCTTTTCCTATCTTTCATTATAAGTATCCATAATTTTTATGTGATCTTTACCACTTAGCTTTTTACATGGCTTATTGAATATAAAATACTTGGATTTAAAAATTCAATAAAATGCCACAATCAATTATAAGATTTGGAAAGTGTGAATTTTTTCCCCTAATATTTATGATAACCAAGTTTACTCTTACTTAGCAAAAGTTTATCAAGTTAAATAGTTTGCTATTGAAACTCTCTGCAGTTCACATAAAAAAGTAAAGTTCCCTTAATTCTACCTGCCTGATATAATCATTTTAATAGCTTGATTTAAAAAAGCCCCAAATTTTATTCATATATAAATGTATACCTTCATTTAGAACATAAATGGGATCACATTATACATTGGTCTATAACCTGTTTTTAACCTTAATAATATACTGTGAAAATCTCTACTGTGGAAATTATATGTGTTCCAAATTATTTATTTCAGCCTTGATTAAAATTAAAGTTAAAATCATAACAATTATTTTGATAGCACAGATCTTGTACAAGTTTTAAATTTTAAACTGTTGACATAAAATTTTGAGACTTCAAAACATTAAGCTGCCCAGTACAAATATGTATATAGGTAACAGTAACCATTTGAGAATAAGCACAGGTCTTGAAGGTTCTAGCAACGTGAAAATAGTGAGCTTGGTTAGGTATCTTTTGCCACATTTATATATTTACTCTATATTTTGTAGGTATAAAATGATTCTCGGCTAGTTTGTAAAAATCTAATAAAGATTCCAATACAACTACAATGACTTGTCATTATAAAGCCTTTTACCTGTGAGAGTGTGATGTTTATTTATTTAATTTTGAAGGAAACTTTTTTGTCTCATGAATGTTTTCTATGGGAAATTAAATTCAAATTGACTCATTAACCCTGTCATATTTAAACCACTTAGTGTGAACTCATTGATTTTTTTTTATAATTAAATAAAACTATGTAAATTGTTAGTATTCTTTTGAAGCTTAGAGGAAAATAATAATCATTTCCCTCCTTTTATCAGAAAGTCCATAAAATATCATACTGACTCTGTTATATTTTATAAAATAAAATCTATATGTCATTTAACATAAAAATCTATTTTGTCCTATTTTTTAAAATCTGCATTGTATTTGCTTGTGTGGGTGTACCACAATTTATTCAATTCCATATTCCAAAGCCTTCAGTTCCTAGTACACATGTGTAGCTCACTACATTTTATTGTGTGTTGAGATTGTTTTGTGGGAAGATATAGTTTGAATTTATGGTTGTGGATGGTCTTCTTCCCAGGATGTCTGTGAATTGGATATATGGCTGGGCTTCACAGGCATTAAGTGTAGTATCAGAATGTCACAAGTCTTGGGCCTTCAGGGATATGATGACAATGAAACCAATCCTTCGCTTACCTGGATGAGGAACATAGCTATGTGGTGAAATTCTCCACGGCCTCCTTGCTTAACAGGAACTGTCATGAAGAATTTGCTGCCATCTCTAGAAAATACAGGCTCCTCATTCTAAAATATAAAAGGGCATATAATATTCTCAAAATGGCATAGGCATTCTGTGCAGCCAACTACTGTTAATTCTCGAATTGATTGTACCTATAATTAGTTTAAAATTAGGTAGGAAAATTATCAAATTATTTAAAAAATAAATATGATAGTTAGCATTTTTAAGTGAACTTACTGATACATTGTATGTATATGTTTGAGTAGTGGGAAGGATGGGGAAGTTTCATGCATAGTGGATAGGAATGATTTACTGTTAGAGAAAAGACACTGTTTAAAATGGCTCAAACAAGAACTTTCACACCATCACATTAAGATTGTATTTACCAATGTATCCTCTGAAGATAAGGAAAATACAAACATGCACATGAATTTGTCAAAATAATGTTTTAGAAAGAATTTATAAAATTCTATAACAAACATTTAATATATTTTACTGAAATCTTTTATTCAGCAACTTTAGTTATTTAAAGATTCATTTCTGATGATGTATACATAAATTCAGCGAAAATATAAAAGCTGATAGGCCACAAATTAAAATAATTCTATAAATACTCATTAAATTCAAAATTCTCATCCCCGCTACTCATCTTTTCACAAACATACAAACACAAATGCCTATCCACAGGTGTGAATCCCCATTTGATACTTTTTAATTAAACTCTAGTGCGTGACATATTAAATCAATGGAATTATTTTTGAGAATTAAATGATGGAAACCATACATATAGATTGCTTTCTCTTCTTTCAAGAGGAACATTAAGAAACTGGATATCTCTGACAAAACATTGGGTTCTTTCCTGCTGGATTAATAATAGTGACTGTGTATATGGTATAAAGAAAGGTTTAGGCTTTGCTATGGTTTCTTCTGTCTTCAGAATGGCCTTGAAGCCCTTTCAGATGACCTGGCCCTATACTTCCTTTCTGATCTCATCTTCTTCTGTTCTCACTGGGCTTTCTCTCTGGCTCCTGCATGATCCTGCTCTAGGGCCTTTGTACTTTTTAGTTCCTTCATCTAGCTCTTCTTATCTCTTTCAGGTCTCTGATCCAATGTCACCTTATCAATAAGGTGCTTTCTGATTACCCTACGTAAAGTGCGGCCAGGGAAGCCAGACCATCCAACTCTGCCTGACATCCTTCATACCCTTTTATCTTCCTTCTAGGTTTCCATAACATTTAATACTATCAACATACATTATGTTGTTGTTGTATGGATGCATTTGTTGGTATGGATGTGTTTGTGTATGAAGGCACGTATGCATGTACATATGTAGGTATTAAATAGTATTTCTCTGTAGTGTAAGGCCCATGGGACAGGAACCTTATATTCTTGACTGCTGTTATCTCTAGCACCCGAAACACTGACTGTCACGTAAATTCAGCTCCATAATTATTTACTGATAAGATAATTAATGACTATTTTAATACACTAGAGAGTCTGATTTTACCTTCATTAGTAAGTGCATCCCTTGACAGCAATATATATTTTCCTTCTCTACCTCAAGGACACTCATGAAAATTAGAAGGTAATATATGCAATAAATTTAAAACTCTGAAGTAAGATACAATTCAAGGTTGGAAAAATTGCATAACTGGGCATAGAATAGATACTGACAAAATACTTGACTGAGTGAATCACATCTTTCAACTATGATAGAGTCAATAATTCTATTTGTTACATCTCCTGCCTCCCTGGGGAATTTCTCTCTTAAGGTTTCTTTCATTTGAAGCAAATTTTCTGTCCTTTTTTAAACTAAATCTTTCTCATATTTTGCTTAATCTCATGAAATATAAACTATTTTCAAATGTCCTTAGTTAAGAATTCTCTCCCTATTAGGGAACCTCTCCCAAGATGTTCTAAAAAGTATCCTTCATTCACCCCTGTCATGGCTTTTAATGCACTCTAGGATATTGATCTAATAACTTCTTGGCTTCCTTCACTAGGCAATTAATAATTAAACTAAACAGTCAGTTTATCTATGTAGCTTCATCACATAAAATACAGTAGGTCCCAACTCATAATTGTTGAGTAGATGAATGTACATATACAATGGACAGAGATTATTTACACATATCACTCTATCCAACACATTTACTCTGACATATTGGTTCCTCCCTTACTCACCATTCTCTCCTTGTGCTCTGATCAAAGATAAATAGCTTTTTTCTGGTACGGGGACATCTAAGCATTCCCCCATTTACATTGCCATCTCCCCAATTCTGGCGCCTTAGAAGTGGTTCCAAAAAGAAACAGAAGGGAGCTGCAATCTCAAATACATGGCTGGACTTAAACACCTTCTTCACTAGACATTATCTGGCTATAAACATTCTGCCAACCTCACTGCCCACTTTCATGACCTTAAGCAAGTCAGTGTTTATGACACACATGGCCCTGAACTGGGGATTCTGAACTCTATCCCCTGACCAAACACATTATGTATTGGTCATCCTGGCCGTAGGTCCCTCGAAAGCTAGGCCAAAGATGTGCACTTCTCTTTATGCTTCCTACTGTTCAGAAAGAAAGCATATGATGATTCTATCAAATTTCTAATTATTTTAGAAATTTGCTTATCTCATAAGTTTCTTTTCATTACTCCTAGCATAGTCATCCTTTAAATTTCATCTAAGTATTTCATAAAATTCCCTTAGAGCTTCTGGAGAAAAAATCAACTGTGATAAACTACCAACTGAATTTTCTTACTGAATAATTGATAACTGGATGTTCTGGTTTTAAAAAAGTCTATCAAACATTTATAAATTTGTGATTTAAAATTTAGATGGCATAATCTCAAAAAAGCATATATTGTGTTGATGTGCGGTAAACTATTATGAATGTCACTAGCAATAAAAGTGATAGCAAAAGAGGCTTAATAATTCAGGGCAATTTAGAATACATCAATATCCATGGTGTCATTGTTTTTCATTGTTTTTATTTTCAGTATCTGCCATAATTTTGTGAGAGCCCATATTGGTTGCTAAATCAAGGTGTTCTTTTTTTAAATTTTATTTTACACACTAAAATTATTTATATTAATAGATACCCATGTATGTAAACATATTTAGAAACATTCTGTCTCTCTCTATATACCTCCTTCAGATAAGCAAGGGTTTAGCCTATTTACAACTAACTTTCTTTCTTTCTTTCTTTCTTTCTTTCTTTCTTTCTTTCTTTCTTTCTTTCTTGTCTTCTTTCTTTCTTTCGTCTTCTCCCTCTCTCTCTTCCTTCTTCTTCCTTCCTTTCCTCCTTCCTTCCTTCCTTCCTTCCTTCCTTCCCTCTTCTTCCTTCCTCCTTCTTCTTCCTTCCTCTTCCTCCTCTCTCTCTCCTCTCTCTCTCTCCTCTCTCTTTCTTTCTTTCTTTCTTTCTTTCTTTCTTTCTTTCTTTCTTTCTTTCTTTCTTTCTTCATTCAACAAGTATTTATGGAGTTCTTCTTATATACTGGATTCTATACTAGGCATTTACAAAAGGGAGTGAAAAATAAACATTTTCCTTGCCCTTATGTCTCTGTGATAAATCCTGGAAATATTTAATATTTGCATAAGTATCATAACAAAGATTATAACTGACTTTAAGATAACTTTATTGGGTGATGTTCATGAAGTGGCAGAAATTTGCTTCTTCTCATTAGGAGATGACTCTTATGTAGGTGATATAAGCCAGAGTTTGAAAAATGAATAGGCTTAAAATAAGACAGTTTGAGAAAATTATGTCCAGAAGGGAGGACACCTGTGAAGTCACTGTGCAAAGGAGGGTCAATGTGTCTAGAATGGAGAAAATGGGTGTAAGAATGATATGACTCAGAGATGGAAAAGCTTTTAATTTAATCCCTTTCAGAGCACTTAAGGATGTTGGTCTTTATCTGAAGGAGGGGAAGAAAAGAAAAAAGTTGTTTGAGCTGTGGGAGTGGGAATATGAGGAGGATGTTGGTAGTGATAATCAAATGTATCATGAAGGTCACACAGCCAGCCTGCAGCTTGGAGAACAGATTGGCAGTTTCCTGTGGGTTGAGAGTTCACTAATTTAAAGAGGAACTGCTGTACCTATAGTTTGATCTAGGCAGTGTTTGTGAATTGGAGAAAAGTAAATTGACTTGAGGCATCTTTGAGAGTAAAATCAAAGTAAAATCTGTATATAGTAATTACATATACAGATTGAGAAAAGGTTTAAGGACAACTATTAGGTTAATGGTTTTAACTGCTGGATAGATAATTATGTCATTGACTCCTATGATAAAAAGAAATAAGAATGACTAGAAAAGAAATGTGTTCAGTGTAGACCTGGGGAGTGTGCAGCCACTTTTATAGATTTAGGAGGAAATGCCAAGCATAATTTTGAATGTTTTAGAACTCATTGAAGTACTTGGGGCTATAAATTAGAAGGTCTCAATATATGAGTGGTAATTGAAACCATAGATGTGCATGACACCTAGGGAGAGAATATAAAATAAAACAGTGTTGTAAAGAACAAAATAAATCAAAACCAGCCAAACTTCACTGGTGTCACAAACTAGCATTATGAGTAGGATACATTTAACAAAAAAAGTATTCATCTGAATAATATCTGCATGACCAGTTTATATGGAGATTTGGGCAATTTTCTTGGCAATTTGAACAATGGCTATGACATCCAGTTTTGGTAGGTCCTAACTTTTTCTCCTTCATCTTCAAAAGTTTACTTATATATATGATCCTGAAAATCGATCCTAATAGTTACTCTGCAATTTGTGTACCATTAGAATAAAAATAGAACTAACCTTTTTACAAATAATGTCACAGGAAGCTCAAATCATAAATGTTTTAATGGAAAAGAATTACTTTATCAAACTTAGCAAAACCTTAAAGTCATATTGCATTATTTAAATAGCTTTTTTTTCTTAAGTTATCACATTCCAAATGGGTGAAAAGGATGATCACATGGGCCAAAATGTGACAAGGACCACTATACTATACCTGTTTAGAGAGCCATGTATCAGATGTCATTTCGTATTTCTGAAACAAAACAATTAACTCTATGAAGCATCTACAGACCAAAATGAGCATATATCAATTTCACTTTTTTATACTGTTATCTTCAGGCATTTTTTCTTTCCTTTTAACTGGTGAAATATCATGAGAGATGCCATTGTCATTATTGATTTAAACTGAATGAGTAAGTAGAGAATTGGGATTAAAAGGTAATTTAATTATAAAGTCTTTTCTTTGGTGAACACTTTCAGAATTCCCAGCAGTATGTCACCAGGGATAGAAGATCACTTTCCAGCTCTGTTTGATTACCTCATTCAAACTGTCTGAACCACCAGATACTGTCTCTTTTCACCTCTAGGCATCATCAGGAAAAAAATTATTAAGTCCTTCAAAGGAACTGGGCAAATAGCCAGGAATAAAAATTAAAAAGTGGACATTCTTTCCATATTCAATTCTACTCTTAAAAATAGCTGTTTTTTTCCTATTAGTAAGTAGTACCTCAGTCTTAGGGGGAAAAAATTAAACATTTGAAATAACAAAATCATATGTCCCTTCAAAATACTCTTGCCAAGGATCAGAACTAAAATCATACTGCAAAAAGCAAAATTAGGCTAATTTATTCCCAAGGTAAAATGTGTAGATAAAATAAGTTTTAGTAATACTTTTTGCATACAATGACATGAAATATCTCACAATCTTCTGAGAGAAATGATTCTACACTAAAAGTATTCAAGTTAAGAAAACTAAATAACACCATATTAGGGATTTTCTCATATGCAGGGGTACTCATTTCAAAGTGTTAATAATAATAATTTATTCACAGGTTTTTTATTACTACTTTCCCTTCCTAAATTCATATTGTTATCACATCGTAATTGACCACTTTTGCTTTTCAGGAAAATTTTTTCAATGGATCTTTGCTACATGCAGACATCAGGAAAACATCTAATTGATTAATTTCTCTATTCCTTATTTACACCTCAGCAATAAACATTCTTGGTATCTGTAAAACACAGACATAAAATAGATACCAATGCCACTACTGGTTAGTACAAACAAGTTTTGTTAGAATCCATGAAAGCCCAAAACGTCCTATGTTATTGCTGTCTTATTATTTCATATAGCAGAAAGCAAAATCTTTTTAACTCCATATATGGACTAGGAATAGAATATCAATCATGTGTCAAATCAATAATCTATAGGATTATTATACCTATTTTCTATTGAAGCATTTTAATTTATCTTTGCAGTTACCTGTATGTAATGAAGATCTTTAGATTATCCTTATATACAGAAGTTAATGGGGTAGGCTTTCTCTGATTAACTCGAATAAATGTAGACTGATTTTTAAATGATTTAGTAAATCAGCTGCATTAGAAACCATACAGAACACTTAACAAATAAATGGAGATATTTCAGTCAGTCTATAATCTAGCCATATGAAAGAGGAGACTGAGATAAATTTTCTGATACAAACTTAATGTGAAAAGCATCAGCCAAATCTGGTAAAGTAATGGTTGATTCAACTATCTCATTTCCATGTCTATGTTTGTCATTTCATTCAAAGAGAAATGTCTGCCTCTTTATTTCTTTCTTTGACAGATTATTTATCAGGCCAGTGTTTGCCACTGGGGATTGAGATTGATTAGAATGGGTCACAAAGGAACTTTCTGGGATGATAGGAACATTCTATATCTTGATGAGGTATGGACTATGGGATACATGCATTTGTCAAAAGTCATTTAACTGCCCATTTAATATTGCTTCATTTCATTATACATAAATTATATCTTTAAAAAAATTATTTATTAATAGATAATAATTGTACATATTTATTGGGTACCTGTGATGTTTTGATATAATGTATGGTAATCAAATCAGGGTATGTAGGATGTCCTCACCTTAAATATTTATCATTTCTAATAGCTTTTAAAAAAATCATTTGTCTGCTAATTCCAACATTGCTATCCTTTGTAGGTCTGTTTCTATTGAATATTTTTCAGGGAAGTAAGTAGGTTATATTTTCTACTTCTCTACATATATAGCATATTTTGATTATGTGACTGATATTGTGTATACTACCTTATTGAGAGTCTTTTTTTAAAATTTTCATTTTTCTCTGAAAAAGGCAAACTTTATTCTGATAGATAATTTACATGTAGATGAACTTGATTCCTTCAAAGTGTAACTTAAAAGCCCATTAGAAGGGGTCTAAAATAGATCTACTTCTAAGGTACTTTCTTTTGGGCTCTGAGTTCAATGCTCAGGGTTTTCAGTGACATCTCTCCACTACTGCTTTTCAGAAATCCAGTGTCTGTAAGCATGGTGAAATGGGTAGACTCTTCCTTTGCCTCAAAAATCTCTAGTAGTTGTTTTCTCCAAGGCAATATGGAGGCATGTGGTGTGTATGCACAATTAAGCATTGAGCCAAAGACTTAAGGGGTCCTCTCAATAGATTGTTGGATTCCTTTTCTATATAGCTCCAACTTCTGTGGTACCTGTCCTATAAATTTCAGTAGCCACAATAGCCTCAAACTCGGATTCTCTCTGCCTACTTAGATCACCTAGATCACTGTGCTTTGCTTAGGCCTGATCTCCTTGCCTTGTGGTATCAATGTGTTGGAAATAGAAAGTCATAGAAAGGTTGACCTTGTGCATTTACTCTATTTCAGCATTTATGGCCCCGATCTTCCTATTGTCCAATATCTGAAAACAATTATCTAATATATTTTGTACAGCTGTATAGTGGTTTAGGGTAGAAAGACTGGTCTGGTAAAATTTACTCTTTTCCAGGGCGTGCATTTGAAAAATGTATCTTTTCCAGTACATAAGTTTGAAAGTTCAATTATGAACTAATCTAGGAATCCTTTACCAAAGTACTATGTGTATAACAATTTAAGCTGATTACACTATTTCCTCTACCAAGAACCTTAAAAATAACACATTGCATTTACTGCCAAGTTTATAAAAACTTATTTTGGAAATAAAAATATAACCTGTTTTCAAAACAGTGGTTCAAGAACCAATTATTTTTTACTATTTTTACTTAATGTTAGTACAGAAACACTGTTATTTTATAAAACTATTATAATCTAAAGAAAAAATTGAATATATTTAAAAAGAAGATAGGAAATAAACTTCTTATATTCTCAAGTTAATCAAAGACAAAATATGGAGAGAAATCCCATATGCCATTTCATTCATTTGAGAATGAAACTAATGTGACTTAGACTATCATTTATGCTGAATAAGAATTCATTTATGTTTTAAAAGCTCAGTTTGTTCTCTTCTGCTTATCATAAATACTGCTCACTTCAAAGTTTAGAAACTTTATGGATTAAAGTATATACTCTTTTCCTAGTACCTTTGGAAGTTGATATTGGAGGCTTTGTATAAAGGATTTTCTGATTTCCCTTGTAAGGGAGGATAAACCACTTCATTTTAAGCATAAAAGAAAAGTAAATTATACTCACTCTACTACAAGCACCAGTAGTGGTCTCACAGACTGTGAGAATGGAGATGTTCTGAGGTCGATTTAACCATCTCACCACCGTCTTGGTATTGCTTACCCATTTAACCATAGTGATATAGTATTCTCTAGTTTGGAAATAGAAGTAAAATTTATGTTTAGAGAAAGAGAATCCATACAATACCAATAAAATATACTTGCCATTGTATATACATGAATAACTGAACCACTATAAGAATGCTATTAAGAATGCTATTGATTACTACTAATACATGTGCAAAACAGGTATACATTTTTAAAGCTATATTATTTTTATTTCTTTAAATACACAATGTCCAATTAAAAGGCAAGTATTTCTTAGCTTAATAATTATTTCTTATGCATAACCTCCATGTTATTTTACTTTATACATGGGGACTTTGGCTACAAAGATATAAATTGTTTGTTTTACTCTTTGTCAGAGGGCCAGTCCCAACATTTATTTATACTTTTTAATAGTATCTTATTTATTTGAAAGAGTTTAAAACAAATAAGGAAGCATACTGAAAAAGATAAGAGGTTGTTAAACTTTTGGTATGGTAAGGATGCTAATTGGTGAGGCCTATGATGTCCTCAGGGTGAATGGAGTAGGGAAAGTTTACATACTTTTCTTTATGACACACTATGTATTCCAAATTTACATAATATACCACAAAACTTCCAACTCATTCACAACAAAACATAGTCATCAATAATCATCCATTTATGTTAAAAAGAAAAAAAAGTAACAAGTATTTTGCAAACTTGCCTGGTTTCAGAATAGATGAGTTGCTTCAGAAATAGCTTGAAAGTGGCATCCATGACTATTATATTAAAACTAATCAACTCAGTTTTCATGTGAACTAGAAAAAAAATGACTTACAGAAGACAAACCTTGTGATACAAATCACCTGTCTTTAGATACATCTGAGTTCGATGTTCAGCTACATGAATCTTAACACTGCTAACATTACTGAGTAGTTACTGCTTCTTAGCCTGTCACAGTGAATATGTCAGCAGAAGGGCAAGCGTAACTTGTCACACAGCGAAGGCTGCCATATTTTCTTCAACAGTCTCTTCAAGACATCTGGCAGCTTTCACAACCAGCTGAGCCCTGCTTGAAAACTGCCTATAAACTCAGTGAAATCATAATATGAAGTGCCCTAAATGGACTCAACAAGGCAACTTTGACTCTAATTTGCAGCTGGTGTGGGGATAATCTTTGGTCAAATCAACGGGCCTTGTGATCTTGCAAAGAATAATGTTCTGTTCATTTTCACTGTGTTTTGTTTAAGCGGATATGTTTCCTGTATATTATCATATTTAGCAGTGTAGACAGTAAAAAGCAGAAAATACAGTTATTAACCTAAATAATATTTTAATATTATTTTTATCTAAAGAATTTAGCTTGCAGAAAAAGGATAGTAGGTACTATAAATAATTGGGAAAAGAAGTACAAAACTCTGACAATACATATTTCTGAATAATTAGTATAAATGTTTAAAACTGAAGTAAAAATTAATTAAATATTGTAAACTACTAACCAAAGACTGCAAATTCAAGATGGTCAAATTTTTGGAAAAAATCTAGGTAGAACTGGTATTGATTTTCAAACTCAATCAGAAATTTGTTAGTTGATTTTCAAACTCAATCAGAAATTTGTCTCAATTAGCTAAAGTAAGTAATATTATGTTGTATGCAAAATGAGAAGACTAACATGAATAATTTTAAAAATAAACAACACTACAACAAAATTTAAGTATTGAATGCTTTCACTTTCAAAGGGGCACCCAAGTAAAACATTATAAGAACATCTTTGCAATGCCTTCACAGACACTGACAAATTATATTTATTACATATAATAGCAAATATTGACTTTAAAAAAGGATTTAATATTTGAAAAAATAATTGAAAGCCAAATAGTACAAATGTAACTAACAGATTTTTAAAGGGAACACTACCTTAAATGTAAAACTGTTAAGTAAAAATCATTAATTTATAGCCATATGCTTATATTTCTCTTTGATCAAATAATGTGATTATTTTGTGTGTTTGCACATGATGTACATTATGGTCACAAGTAAAACATAATATATACACCTTATTTATACCTGTTGCACATGACAACCACAATCTGAAGAGAGAGAATTTTTCCCAAAATTGAATTTTTTTAAGTCTTACAGGGGCAATTTCAAACCATGGAAATTTCTATATTGAAGTGTTTAAAATAACCAAAATGGAAGCTAAGATAGAGCTTGACACATAGGCAGAGGGGAAAGATAGATCTAATAACTAAATCACTTCCTACATTCTTTCTTTCCTTGCCCCAAGGCTCTAGGTGTACGTCTCCCTGTGATTCATATTGCCTTATTCTGCTTGCTCATAAGTATTCGGGCTTTCTCTGAATGAGGGAGTAGAGAAGTGCCCTTACCTGGAAATGTCACACTCCTTGGCCTGCCTGCTGCTGATGTGGCTGTGCTCCTGGATTTCCATCTCATGAACACATTAGATCTGGTGTCCCACGACCAGTGGCCAGCAGAAGTGTCCCTTTCTTATAACTGGTTTTCCTGCTTGTTCCTAGTCCCCATGGCTCTGGATTACCCAGGGAGTCCTCGAGGAGCTGATCCTCTTGAGCCATAGAGACAGAGACAAGCTGGTTAGAGGGATTGCACTCAAGTCAACAGAGACTTTCTATCAGCTGGGTGGTCTGGCACAGAAGATCTAATTGTCCACAAGAGTACGGAGGCCCCAGCACCACCTGCAGACAGGTATGTTAGCAGGCATGCCCATGTTTTCACTGGTTTTCTGTCTGATGTTTTCTGTCACTGCTTTATGTTCCATACATAATCTCTGCACACATATAGATACTCTGAGCTCATTCTCTTCCAGGTAATCTAGGATTCTGCCCATAAGTGTATTATGATGATATTCATTACTAACTTCTAGCTAGTGTCCTCCAAAGACCTCTGTTAATAACTATCCATTACTTGTAGGAAGAATCATCCAGGACACTTTCATGAACACAGGTGAATTTATTAATTATATTTTTTTGGAAAGCACAGATAGTCCTTGGAAGAATAAGAGATGTACGTTAGACATACTTTAATTAAATAGGAGGAAAAAGCATGAGAGTGTCAAGCCCAGATGACAGGGCAATATGGCAGTGTTACATCAGTGATGCAGGTTGAGAACAATGGGTCACAAAAGATGGGGAAATAGAGAAAGATTTCCAATAAGTAAACTAATGCTAAAGACAGTAAGGAGAAACCAATGACAAATCATTACTTTTACTTTAACCCCTTAGATTGGAGAGGTCTGAACACAAATGACAATGCATCATTTTCCCAAAACAATGTGACAGTTATCTAATCTGTAAAAAAATATGCATGATTCATTATTATAAAAAATTATTTCACTGGAACTTAATTGTGTATTTTTAAATTCACATTTAAATTTTCTAATAAAGGTTCTCAGTGCTTGCAATACTTTAAACTCATAGTGCAACACTTTTCAAAATGTTTTTTTCTCCCAAGATGAGATGTTCATCTAACTTGCATTGATTCTGGGGACATTGAAGATGGAGTATTATCTTAGTTCCTACCATGCTACATTCTTTTCAGAAGCAATAAAAAACATAATCCACATAAAAATAAACTGAATGATGATGAATATGAACTGAATTACTATTGAAAAAGAGTTGTATTCATAGTCTAAATTCATTTGATGAAGTGTCTTTAGCTGAATCAAGCATAAATAAATAAATTAATAAAACAAACGAATGAGGTGTGACGGTAGAAATTAGGAAAAGAAATTATGCCCTTCTCCAGATCATTTTGTCCTTTTAATTTATCTTTTGACCATATTCATGAATTTAAATTTATTTTATTTTACAGTCTTTGACTAGAGTATAAGTATCTGGTTGAAGGGAAAATCTACCAAATGATGATACTAGCTTGGGGGCCTTTTTCTATTATAATTATAAGCGTTAGATTATCAATAAATAAACCAATTGGCTAAATAAACAATCAAACAGATCAAACCAATAACCTAAGATTTTTAATATCAATACATTTTGTTCCTTGGGGAGCAGTGGGGGTCAGGGAATACAATTTGCAAGGTAGCTTAAGTCATAAAAGTACATCTTTCTATATTTATCTTATTAATCTTTCTGTCTATATAGGCATACCCATATATATTCAATTATTATTCATGTCATTATGGTGATTTTATTAGAGAGAAGAAAGCTAAGAGATGGTCATGTTTGAGGTTCAGGTATGGTGGGAAAAAAACACAAAAAAGAAAAAAATAGTTTGTAACTATACTAAGAAATAATATATGGTTCACTTATTGATTGCCATCTTACAAATAATCTAAAGATTATAAAGATATAATTATGCTTAGATAATATACCAAAAAGAGTAAAAATGTAAATTATTATAAAATAAATTAATATTTATTTTATTATTTAAACATTCAACTATTGAGACTATAGGCAGTATCTAAAATTATACAGGTAGCTATGCTATGAACATAACACAAACTCCAAAAGAAAAAGAGAGAATTTGATGAACTTAATAGGACATGGGAAAAATATGTTAGTAATGAATCAATTTACATATGTTTATATTTACACAAATAGGTAACAAAGTCCATGTCAGGAATCATTAGCTCCTATTAGAAACAAACATATATATTATAAAACTGATCCCTATTGAAAAGATTTAAAAACAGGAAAAGTATTAGAAATTATTTCAAGACTGGGGGATTCTGGCTCTGAGAGAAGTGACTTGTCCAAGGAGACAAATGAAATGGGGTAGACATGTGACTCTAATACTCCTACTTTAGAGATGAGAGTTAAGGACTAGTTAAAATGTCAATAGTTTCTGTAATTGCTTCATTGGTGACTAAATCATTCATGGCTGGTTGATCAAGCTCAGAAATAGAAGTTTATGTTTGATTTGGTCAATCTCCTGCTTTCTACTTGTCAATTCTATAACTTGATGAAATCGGCCTTACCTCATTTTCTACCTTTGTTAACAACTAGTTCTGAGGTTCTACCTTAACCATTCCTTCTCTCTGGGTTTTGTCATTCCGTCAGTAAAAGGAACAGTTTGTATGAGGTAGATAATGAGGGCCTTCTTGTATAAGCATTCCATAAATTTTTATTATCTTTTCAAGTAGTAAAAATATCTACACACGTCAGTCTGTACTAGCTGTGAAAATTCCCAACCAGGATGATTTTTTTTTTTCTAAATATGTCAATGAAACAGCATTTGATTGAAATTTTTATTGGAATCTGCATTGATTACGGATATCATCAAAACAAATTTCAAGCTTAGCTCCATATTATTCAATATAGTGTGAAACCATTTTTTAAATCAACTTCCTATTTTAACTTCTGGACTGTGGCAAATTTCCACAGGGCTCCAATATTTGAAAGAATCACCTTTGAAGTTTTGAGATTATTCTGGATTGTAAGATGCACATGATTATTTGTTCACTGGTGAAGATTTTGATAATATTTAAATTATGCTTTTGACACATAAAATGTATTTCTTTTCTCCCTGCTCCAACTTTTTAAATATGAAGGCTTCATATGTTAAATACTATGAAAAAAATCTCATTAAATTTTTCTGCCTGGAGAGGAATTCTAGAGAATCTTTGGCAAGCTGTGGGGACACAATTGGAAAAACTACCAAATTCCAGGGAGATCATACCCTTTAAAGAACACTTTTTTAAAAATGGAGCAACTATTTTCTTGAAGAAAATTCAGTGGAAAATTATCCTTTGTCCCCATCTCTGTCACATCCCCAGTGAAAGACCTAATTCTCAGCATCAGAATCTACAGTCATTTTGTGGTGGTGATAATCACCTTGAAATGAAATGCTTCTTGGAAATAGCCAGACACTGAGAATGACTTCATTCCTCACTAATGGAAGCAACCTCAGCTTTATTTTCAAGTGGATTTGTTGAGCTGATCACATCTCTCTCTAAATTGCAACAAAATGATAATTGGAGTGAAAATATCTATTTCCCCATAAAAGCAAAATTGAAATGCATACCTTGATTTAAAGCTGTCAGGTGGCATGAGTTCCAAAGTATGAGTTGGTCCATACAGGTTTACAACATATAATTTTATTGTTGGGTTCACTTGACCTGCCTTTGAGAAAATGACAGTTGTAATGCAAGTATAGTAAGCATTAGAATATATTGAGAAAAAAAGAAAAAGAATTTTGATTCATTTACTTTTTTGTGTTGAGGGAAAAAATGTTTAATTTCTCTGAAGTAGAAACGATTTTAAATTCAACAACTTGATTGCTTTCAATTGTTTTTGGAGATTGCTGCTTCTCAAGCACTTTTCTCAGACAATTAAAGGTGATAGGAAATCGTGATGACTTCATTCATTAGGCAGTGCTACTGTGTTCTTTCCCTAGAATGGCACCAGAAAGGCTGGCTGTACAAAACAACTAGTAGATAAAGCAACTACTTAGATTATAGGATATGAAAAGCAATGGGAAGAAGATGTGGCTAATTTAAAAAAAGAAGGAGAAAGGAAGGAATGGAGGGAGGAAGGGAGGGAAAAAACCTACCTAATTTAGATACTAAAAGCTTAAAATTTCACAAACTCTAATGTATTCCATCACATTAATCTCCCTGGCTTCTTAAAAAAAAAATGTTATTAATTACTAAATGAGGTGACTCATTTGCATAATTGACCCTTGGGAGGTGAGCCATGGGCAAACTGCCCTCTCTGAGTACCTGGCATGAAGAGTAGAAAGGCTGTGGTGAGGATATGCAATTTGAGTTCAGTGAATCAAAATTTTATTAAATAAATAACAACTATCATGTACAGCAGTTGGTATGTTTCTGGCATATAGTATATGCTAAAACCATTACATGAATTACCTCATTCAATGTCCTTACCACAGTTACAGATATAATTATAACCAATGAAAATGGAAAAGCTAAGTAACTGTGCAAGGTGAAATATCTAATAACTGAGGCAGCCAGTATTTAAACCTAGGATGCTCTTAACTGCAAGGCTGCTGTTGTGCTTTCAGTTCATTCCCAGGCAATGGCCTTCAAAGTTTTTCTAAATACACTTGTGAGCAATGAGGGGCAGAAATGGAAACATTCACCGACATATTCAAGCAGTTTGAATGAGTGAATGTTCACATGAATGAATCATGTAGCAAATTAGTTGATTATTTGTGGATCAATGTGCTTCTAAATACTGCACCATTATCCTTATGATATGGCTGATACTTTAAAGAGAAGACTATCTGAGATATACAGAGGAGAAGAAGGAAATTAAAAGTGAGTTGAATTAAAAGACCTCACAAAAATCTAAAGAGAATGATAAAACTGATTTAAAGATGACAAAGGATTCATGTTCAGAGAATTGGCATTGACAAAACCCATCAAGACTGGAAGCACCAAAGTACATTCCGCCAATAGTCAGAAGGAACTCCCAAGAATTCTTTGCTAGGTTATCAAGAGACATCCATAGGATGACATCTATAGGAGTGTGTCATACACAGGTCAGAAGTCTTGAGCCAAACAAAGGAGCCAGGAGAGGCTTTTACTATAGAAATGAGGTGACTATTAAGAGACCTTATGGAAATAGTTCATACAGTAAAGGTTTTCATGGAAGATAACTGTGAGCTTGCCTCACACTGAATGCTCTGGTCTCAGAATTTTTAAATCTTGTCATTGCTCCCAAACCTTCCAGTGCCTGAGCATATTTGTTGGTCAATTTAGGGTTCTACAGTTCTTAGGAGTTTCCTTTCACACCATTCTTGTTTTAATTTAGTTGTCATATTCCTCCCTGAAAATATTAGCTTTATCCATTTAATTGTTAGACTGACCCTTTCTCTAGCTGGATCAGGTATGTTCAAATTTAGAGCTGGATGTAGTATTAGCAGTGCCATCAAAGTGTTGTTCTTTGACCAGTGGCATTAATCAGCTTCACCTGGAACCTTAGAAACACAAATTCATGAGCTCAACACCTCAGACCTAGAGTCAGATGCAGAATCAGAATCTCTGAGTGTGGGCCTACAAATATGTGTTTTAACAAGATGCCCAGATAATCAGTATGCAAATTTTGACAAAACATTAATCTATATCTCTATATCCTTCTAATCCATCCATCCATCCACCCACCCACCCATCCATCCACCCACCCATCCATCCATCCATCCATCCATCCATCCATCCATCCATCCATCCATCCATATATCTAACTAACAGCTCAGTGGTTGTCAAAGGCTAGCCTGAATCAGAATCAGAGTGCCCACAGGACTTGTTAAACCACTGATTGCTGAATGAATCTTACTCCAGCATAAGGATAGTAACCCTGGAGCTGCTGAAAGGACCACATTTTGAGAACTGGTTTAGCTTAATCTATAAATCAGAGAAATCAGAGTTCAAATTTTCACTCTGTTATTTACTTGTTATGGACCATGGAAAGATGCTAAAAAATCCCCAAGTATTATTTTATTTGATTATCAAAAATAAGACAAACACCTTTTGGAGAATATGTTACAAGTTAGAAGTTTTGAGTCAAAGAAGTTTTCCTGTCTGTAGATAAAAACATCTTATAGTTTTGCTATGTGGACTAATAAAAAACATGATTTATATAAAGTGCCTAAAATAGTATCTGGTAGTGAATTAAAAATGATAATTATTAAGACATGAAATCTTCTTTTCTATAGTGAAAAGCTATGCCCATATTTTTATCAGTCAACACACTGACTAAAGCAAAAGGGAAATTAAATTAAATTTGATCTTTCTGTGAACTTTTACTAATGATGCATAGTTATATGACATACTTTATTAAAGATATGTCAATTACATCATATATCATATAAGGCAGTTTTCTTTACATCAGTAGTACTATAGACTTATACATGTACTGGATTACTAATATCCCAATTAGCTTCCACATGAACACAAATGAAAACATTGTGTACACATGTGGCCAATTTTCAGACAAAAAATGAACAACTCAACCAAACATCAGGCTGTCTCCATAATTCAAATGCCAAGATTTCTATAATCTCAGTTAGATTTTTATCTTTCCATGGAGTTTTGGAATTAAGCATACATCAAAAGTTCATCTGTACCTTTTAATATTTGAATCATTTTAAGAGTTTGCAAATTAGAGGAGTTCATCTATTTGCTTTTTATGGTCACATTTGCCACAAAAATAGCAAATCCACAGAATTCCTTTCTCTATGATTCTGAAACACAAGCCTCAATAATAATTAACCTTATTTTACTGGCAACTAAATTGTCATTAAACGAGATAATGTTTTAATTAAAAAGATTAACCTGAGGTTACTGGGATAGAACTATGCATCTCTTTTGTGCTGAATTGCTAATGATAGGGTATTTTATGAGTTCTGAATCATGCTGAATTAAGTAAAATAACCAGAATATACTTTGTGTGTAGTAACATTTCATTAGTAATCTGAGCCCCACATCGGGCCATTTACTGCACTCACTTTAAAGCACAATTTAGTATGAACTCTATGTGCTACTTCGGTTTCTAAAGTAGCACTTTTGAAAGTTTATTGTATAAGTAAGAACAAATCAAAACAACACATTTATTACAGGAAAAACTATCAAACATTTTCTCTAAACCAATAGTAAGAAAATCAGTTACAGCCTGAAAAATTTAAGTAATGCATTCACAATGATACTGAAATTTATTTAAGAACATGGAACCGAAAATACCAGACCTACATTTTCCTTTGAGGTCTTATTAATTTTAAGTGGCTGGCGCCAGAAATGTCCTACAAAATGGCTTGAGGACTGGGGCTTCTTTCTCTTGGCTTTACCTGCTAAAATATCTTTTTTCTTATTTTTTAATACTCTTTAATGGTAGTCATTAACACACATGTTAACGACTTCGCGATCCATGTCATCACATATATACTATTAAATATATATATGTCATATGATACCTTATACGATAAATACGAGAGTATAGAGAGAGAGAGAGAAGAGAGAGAGAACGCAGGTGTGAGGTTAAGAATGCTACCCATATATAGCTAAAGTCATTTGGAGTAAATAGAGCTCTACAAATATGTGTTAACTTGACAAGGAGATGTTTTGATTCCAGCTGCATCTTCTGAAATACAAATTGACCTCTGGTAGTTTCATAGTGAGGAACAAATCAATAACTTTGAATTTCCGCCTCCTTGCCCTTTTAGGATCTATTTGCCCATTCTTAAAATAGAGACAATCGTGATAAAGACTAACTGAGAAGGAAAAAAAGCGAAAAGTCTCCCTGAAAACACAAAGTGCATTATTATCACAAGTGATTTCTACAATAAATAAACAAACACTATTGTTCTGTTATGCCTATCTTTACCATTAAGCAATATTAAATAATTAATTAAATAACAGATTATTAAATAATAATAAGTTATCTATGTTTGTGTCCAGTGTCTTCTGAATTACTGCTGACATGTTTCAATTTTCTCAGATGTTTCTATTTGTTAATGTATTTGTCTCAGTATTGACAGAATTATGAGGGTTAGGAGTGCCCAAGTTCAAGCACCATGAGTCCATAATGGAGGAGGCAATTCGAAGATGAGGTAACACATATGGCTTTTTTATGTGATTCACAAAATTCCTACTCCTCTTGAGAAATGAATTGCAAAAAATTATCTCTTCCAGGGTGCTGATTTTGTTCTCTTGGTGCAGTGTACTGAATATGTGGATATGACTCTGTTCCCTTTGGGCACTGCACTGGACACTTGGATGTGCCTTTCACAGTATGGCACTAGATCTCCATTTTCTATTTAAATTGTCAGGTGAACTTTTATTGTTACAAGTAAATCAAACAATGGAAGAATGCACATATTTGAGAAATATTTTCAAGTTTTCTCTTAAAAAAAAAAGTGCTAGTAGACTGTATAGGCCCAAACTGCCACTCACAAGAACATGGCTAAATCTATAATTAAAGAAGTCGTAAGTTCTTTTCTTGCAGTACAATAAAAATCTCTTAGTGAATATGATGAATTGTTGTTAGGTTAAATTGTTATTTTCTTCTGAAGAGCACCGAGTATATGTGTTTTCTAATCTATCTTCCCAGAGAAGACACTAAAAATAGCATTTTAAAATCATAGCATCAGATTCTGTGACCACACCTTCATTGTGGGCCTAACGTAAGGAGGCTGAGGGAAATTTGTCTTCTTTGCCCAGCTGATGTAGTGTGCAGATTCAAAGATAGACAACCAAATGTACTTAGAAAAAACAAAATACAACTCATTAAAGGAATAGCTTAAAAATGGCTTCTAAATGAAATCAGCATTTCATAAATCTCTCTTAAGAGCTAAAATGAAAAGTGAAATTATAAAATTTTCTATGAGACATGTTTTCATGATTAACATATAGGGGGCCTCATGAGCCTTTTTTTTTGTTGTTGTTACATAAACATGGGGGAAATATTCATATAAGAAGAGACCTTGAATAATTAACAATGGCATTCTGGGGAAAAACCAGCACAATCCAGACGTACTATTTTCTAGAGGTTTCACCAACACTTGAAAATAATTTTGCTGAGTGCACAGTGTTTCCATATTTGCTTCATCTGATTAAAAAAAAAAAATCTATCCTAGCTACCCATAGCTATGACTCCATACCAGCATTGCATAAAGTATGTTCTAGAGTATGCTCTGCCAAAATAATGCTGATTTTAGTATTAATACTAATAAATTCTTTATGCTTAGTCTATTCTTTATTGGTGATTTTTTATGCTTAGTCTATTCTTTACTGAGATTCTTTATGCTCAATCTATTTCTTACTGGAGATTCTTTATGCTTAGTCTATTTTTTTACAGGAGATTTATAATACACATTAACATATAGTGCATTAAGCGCTCTACAAAATCATCTGAAAGAAGCTAGATTTTTTTTTAAGAACTTCCAACGTGCATAACCATGGAACGTTCCTCTCCCTTATAACACCTATTACCAACTTGTAGGATAGACTTGGAGAAAACTTGCCCCTGCCTCAGTGCTTCTGGCTATCTCTTTTCTCCCTCTTTTCAACCAGTAAGGTGAGAAAAAATAAGAATGAGCATCAGACAGAAAGAAACATAGCAAAACTAAAAGCTCTCACACCCCTAAATTGTCTCTACCTCTTTCTACCCAAGCAGTGTGTATCAACTACTGCAAGCTTGAAAATGATGTCTGGTAACAGATGAAGGATGCTTCTGTTTCCCTTCAAGACAACTGATTCACAAACCAAGAATACTATCAATGAAGCCACTAGTGCAGAGAGAGAAGGAACAAACTAGGACTTCCACATTACTTACCTTAGGATAAGGATACTGCTTTCCTTTGGGATACAGCGCCCCAGTGAAGCGAGGGATAACCATGGTTGGTACCAATGAATTATTTATCATCAGGAAGGCAAGCCTTTCTCCATCTGGTGACCACCAGTGGGCGATGTGAGAACGCAGAAGTTCCTCTAGAATAAATGAGTGTTATTTGAGACCAACTGTAGAGATGTGGGCTCAGTGACCCACAAACATCTGTCCTTGAAATCTCTGTTGTACCTACATGTTCTAGACCCTCTGTGTTGGATTTTATTCTACTTTCCTGAGAATTCACTATTTCTCAGTTACTCTTTTAAGTCCAGGAAAAGCAGCTGAAAGAGGAAGGAAAGAATGAAGCAATGAAGTCAGGGGGTTTGTGGATTGCCAGCAATGTAGATCAAGCAGATGAAAACACTACTGGAGTATAAAGAATGAAAACAGTTATTGAAGAGTGATAAATGGCCTAAGATCACATCCACATCATCATTCATTCATATGTACATGCAATCATATTTCCATTCTCTCATCATCAAACAAGGTAAGTACCAACTAGATTTCATCAAACTATTTTATGCTCTAAGCAAATGTGATAAGAAATATACTGGATATCTTTCATCTAAACTAAGATCCACTATCCACTTTTATATACCTGCTTTTTGGCCCAGAAAGTTAACCTATAGGAACCACATCAAAGGGGTCCCTATGCCCTCTGGAAACAAGAGGGCATGATCATTATGGTTCTTTGGCAGGAGGTTAGAAGAAAGAGAATAAAGTCAAGTTATTTATTCTCTTGGCTCCATCCTGCAATGTCACCTCAGGCTGGCTGTGAACTTTAAATGATGTCACTACTTCTGTCAATGCAGCCATCTCTACACAATTTTCTCCTTCTGTATCTGGTAACAGCTCATCTCTGTGGTCATAGGGGTGGTAATAGCTTGGCTGCTACTGGTTTAGATTACAGCACTTTCCCTTGTAGTTTCTCTATACTTTCACCTTGGTAAATGTTCTTTTTGTAAATAAATCCTATTCAAAGTATCATATTGAATGTGCCAGTTCTTGGGACTCTGACAGATACAATAATTAATGTCAGCGGTAGACTCAGAAAAGAAACCCTTAAAATTAGATTTTGAGATTAGGTTTGTCATATATCTTTATCTAGATAGACAGACAGAAGTACATATGAAATGTAATCATCACCTTTCCAGGTGGGAATTGGAGCATATACAATCCACGGCAAGGTATGGAATCATGAGTGATTAATTGTCACTGGTGGTGACATGAAATAAAATGCAGATAGAGGGAAAAGGCATTGGAAGAACAAGTGTTTGTGGCACTTAGTTGCTATAACAATAGTGATTGCAAAGATTGTGAAATATAGTTCACATGGGTTTTCTGATACTCCAGTGACATTACACAGGAAAAAAGAGAAATTGAAATCATGATTGTAAAATTAGGAATGCACATACAGAACAAAAGGTCATCAAGACATCTTTGGAAGAGTCTCTCTCTTCTGTATTTGCAGGGAAGATATGGCTGCAGTCCAAGAGAACATAGTAATGGTTGCAGAGCTGTAATACAAATTAGGGGCTCAATTCCATTTTTGCTTTTAAGCTATGATAAAGATATTGGTAAAAAAGGATTGGGACCCTGATACACAGAGTAAGAATATTTGGGTAAAGGCATTCAGTATACTTAGGATTTTTTGGACCTGTCTCATAAATAACACATTTGGGGTTTGAGTACTGCTGTATGTGGATAATTTTATGGCTGAAGATTTTGAACCTCATAATTCCCACAAATCTTCTTGTTGACAGAGGCAACCTCTGTCTAAGGGAATTAGACCTCCTCTGCATAAAGGTAGAGGATGGGAGACAAATTTCTGTAAAGATTTAAGAGTCTGCAACAATAGGGTTGTTCCTAGAGATCTAGTAGTCTGTGACACACTGGAATATGACGTCGAGATGTCTTTTCTAAAGTGAGAGAAAAATTGTTGGGATTATGTTTATGCAAAAGCAAAAGGGAATTGGACTCTTTGGATTTAGAAGACAACAGGAACCACATTCACATGTGTTGCTCTGCTCCGTCTCCTAGGCAACCTGTAAAGCTGCTGGTTCTGAGTAGAACCTGAGCAACAGTGGTCCCTGAAACAGATCTAGGCCATGATGTAGCCTTCTCTACCTCCTGTACCTTGCGACCCAGCAGATCCAATGGTTATGTAAGTGTTCATGACAGAGATGTTGTGTGGAGCCTTTGGCACTCCCCATATGATAATCATAGCAGAGGCATTACAAGCTTTAGAGAAAGACCATTGCCTCTTGTGTTGAAAACTATTATCAGTTTCAAAAGCAGCTTTCTCCTGGGCTCTGGTAGAAACAATTGGCCTACCCATGGAATACCAAGTGACTTTGCAATGAACCTGCTTATCATAGACTGATTGTTATCTGATCCATTGACCATAAAACTGAACACGTACAGCAACATTCCACTATAAAATAAAAGTGGGATTGGGCCACAAAACACATGTGACTGCCCATAGTATTTCATACTCTGCTTCATCCCCTCTCCTCATCTCACATCTGTACCACACAGTGTGTTTTCTTACACAATTGGCAGAGGAGGAATGAAAGCAGGCCTGGTTTATGGGCAAGTCTGCATGATGAACAAGAACAAGCTGAAATCGGGTAGGCTCTGTACTATAATTTGACTCAGGAGGGGTGTCAAAAGACAATAATAAACATAAACCCTCCTGCTTGCCAGAATTTTGAACAGAATACTTAGTTGTCCACATTTTGTAGAAGGAGCCCTGCCTTGAGGCATGGATCCATTCTGACTCACGCACAGTAACTAATGAATGGACACCTGATCAGGGATTTGGGAAGAGTAGAATTAGAAAATCCATGACAAGGAGGTTTTGGAAAATATAAATGAATGGACTTATTAGAAAGGGTAAAAATGTGAATATATTAGTGTCCCACTTAATGTCCACCAGAGCACATTTTAGCAGAGGAGGCTCTCAATAGTCAGATGGACAAGAAGAATGTCCAGTGCATGTGAGTCAGCCTCTCGCTCCCACTGTGACCTGCCAATGGTAGTGGCCATCAATGAGCTCTTCATGTAGTATCATTTCCCAGGGGGACCTGGCAACTACTTGGTGGCAGGCAGATGGATTGCACAGGAACCCTTCCATCAAGAAGGGGTAGCAGTTTGTCCTCGCAGACATAGGTACATATTCTGGGTATGAATTTGTTTGCTCTTGCTGCCTACAGTCCTGCTCAGCATGACTATTCAAAGACTTACAGGAAAATTTATCCATTACCATAATAACTCACACTACATTACCTCAAACAGGAAATATTTTATGGCAAAAAGAAGGGCAATAGGCTCAGTGCATAGCCAGGAGGTACAGATCTAGGAACTAAAGGGAAGAAGTAATAGTGTTCTCTCTCACTATCATACCAATAACTTGCTAGATACAATTTACTTCTTGTTCTCATAATAATCAGTTGGTGAATTGAAAAGTTCATAGCATAAAAGAGGAGTGTCTCGAACAGGAATATAGTCATAATTCTCTTCCTCTGAATTTGAAACTGAAATTTCCGCCTAATCATTTGTGGGTTCAGTATGACCAAAAACACAAAAATAAAACAAAACAATAAACTGGCAAAACATAGTCACTATGCTAGGTCTGTGACTGATCTCACCTGGCAGGAATAAAATTGTGTCTTTGCTATACAAAAGAGGGCAAAGGAAAATATATTTAGAACTTGGGAGATTTACAAATACTTCTTTTCCCAATAATACTGGCCAATGGAATATTGAAATTATAGCAACCTAATTTGCTAAGGAGTGAGGTTTGTCAGAAATAAAGTTTTGGTTTGATCCACTTGTTCAATAACCTGTCTAGTTGACATGCTGAGAGAAAGTAAAGGGAAAAGGAATGGGTAGTTGAAGAAGCAACTATGATTGTCAGTGAAGATCACATAATAAGCTTATTTCTTTTCTTACTGGGGAAACTTTCCTCACAACCTTCTGAGAAGTAAGAAAAATACAAGTGGTGGCTACATTTATAAATTTCAGGTGTATAACTGGACTGGTGGCACCCTGCAATGAAACAGTAATAGATGAGACTATGTGTGCTCCTCCTTCCAGGACGCAAACTTTAATTTGATTAATAAGAACATCCTCGGGTTCTCTGACTTTTTGTTAGGTATGATCAATATGAAACCCAGGCAAATAAAATGAAAAGAGAGAGAGAGCTCATGAAATTTATTTTCTTGGATACCAAGCATTGAAATCATGTGAGTCTGGCTTTGTTCAACCAAAATTCACTGCTTCTATTACTGTGAAAAATCTACAGGACTTTTTTTCCTTCTAGTTTCTGTTGACTGTTGCCTCTCCTCCCCCTGCTTGGGTGTTAATGGCTAAATCATTACTAGTTATAGTTTGTGGCATGTCCCATGTTCTTGATAAGTAGCCCCTTCATAGACAAAACCTCCTTGGATTACTCTTTTTTGAATATGCCATTTATCTTCCAGCTGTGATCCTGACCCTGTATTATATAAATAACAATTAAGTCGAGGAGATGTGAGCTATACACACGACACACTGAAGAAAAGTATATATGCTAAGGGCCAATTTGAGTGTAAAGTCTAAGTTCTATGAGATTTGAAGGTATAAAGAAATCCTGTCGGCTAAAGTCAACACTCTGGATTTCTGAGAAGCAGGTTCTGTCACAGGTGCTGACACATGTGAACCCAGTACTTCCCAAGAGTAAGCCTGGCCTAGAGTTGAGGGCACTGTTCAATAGAAATAAGGTACCACCTACTTTCATTTATTTTAGAGTGATTTATGCCTAATGCTCTTCCCTACGAATTGCTAACACACCAAAATAATACATAGAATGAGTTATGTGACTTTCCTCAAATGCAAAAATAACGCAAACTGGAATGGGAAGGAGGTAAATAAAAGAATCTTTAATATACATTTACTTAACAGTCATTCTGGATAAGGCACAGCTTCTTTAATCGCATCTAATGGGAACATTTACTCATGGATTCAAACTTCCTATGGTAATTATATTATATTATTTACTAAGAATTTATTTTTACAAATTGCATTCCACTCCAATTTAGCATAAGTTTGGCTGTTCATCGTTTTTTATTGCTCTGATTTAGAAAATCTCACAGCAGAGCAGATGGAGTTTTCAACACATGTGGGTTTATAGCACATATACTTAAAAACATAGCCTCAACACAAAGCACTTCCAGAAAAATAAGATATGACCCTTGTGTTCAGATTGGCATGCTATTCTGAAAAGCAAGTTGATTTTTTTTCCCATTTTTAGTTTATTAACTTAGACAGATAGGATTTCCTAAGGATGCTACTGGCAACCTTGTGGGCTGGTGGTTGATTCCCCCCCCTCCCTTATTTTCTGCATTTCACTGCCAACTTTCTTGGAAAAAAATGTTTATATTCATAACCTGCTCACATCCCACTTACACCTAGATACACTGCTGTCTTGCTTCTGGTGCCACCAATAGACTGATTTTACTGGTGAAGGTTATCAAATCCAATGGTAATTTTGGAATCCTTGGCTTGTTTAACCTCCAGAGACTCAACACTGTTGTTGATAATACCATCTTTCTCTGGCCTCCACGGCTGCAGCCCCACGGATGGCACTTAGTAAGTGTTCAATAAATATTTGTTGAGTCAGTGATGATGGAATGGATGCAATTTCATGTGCCCATGACAAAAAAATAATGTGAAAGTAGGGAATTTTGCATTGTTCTCATTAAACAAAAAAGGTATAACAATTACAATCTGCTGATAAGGATATTATTTATCTTGTGTATTTTTTTCTCACTTCTTTATTTTTGTCATTATTGAAGATCAATGCAAAGACCATTTCTTCTATGAAACACCTGAGATTTCTCCACAATTCTATTCAGTATGCTGACATAAATTCTATTTGTACTTCTGTTTACCATGCTCTGAATGGCTCCTGATAGAATAGCTATTTACTGTTCATAACCCTACTACCTTGGAAATACCTAAAACATAGAAACCCTTATTCATCCTTGTATTGCTCTCAAGTAATGCCTGATAGATATTTGCTCCACAACTATTGATTTGAATTTCAAAGAATAATCTCTTAAAAATATGAGAGTCTAAAAGATATTTATAAATCATTTTGGCATATTAGTTCCATTATTCTATATGTTTAAATAATTAAAAGTGATAGTCATTTTTTTCCTATTTAATAGATTAAGTGCTTTATGAAAATTTTCTAAGCTGTGAACTTGGTAACTGTAGGCTTTACTTTTTTTAAATAAAAGTTAAAAGTGTTTTAAAATAAAATTTTGATCTGATAATTTTGATCTAGTTATATTACCATGTCAAATACAGCAATTTATATGAATAACATTGGGTGTGTTTTGTGTAAATTATATTTAAAATAATCTTCCATTTTGAATATTTTATTCTTTTTCTGAATAGTACCAACTGTTTAAAACATTGTATTTCATACATTTTTACTCTTCTTAGAGACTGAATGATACTAGAATCAGAAACAAAGATGCTTAAAAATGATGCTTTTAAAGACTGTTAAAGACTCAATATTAGTGACTGAGGTTGGGAGCAGCAGTACTCTCACAGATTGGTCTGGCCCTAAAAAAGATTAAGACATGCCCTTAAAACTTGCCATAAAAACATTTAGTGTCTTTTATGTGCCTCTTTCTCTCACCTTTTTTTTTTCATGACATTTACAGAGGGTAAATTTCAATTTAAAAAAAAATTGAAAATGTTATATGTTACTTCCTGTGTCTCCCATGCATGCTAAGTTAGATTGTACTTGATTCTTGTAAGTAATAAAAAGGAAATTTCTATACCAGAGTATCACACACAGTGCTGAAGATTATGCACATTACCTAGGTGATATCAGTGTGCTTTGTTGAGTATATTAATGGAAAAGAAAAGCTTTAGGGCCTGGGAGCTGTTGGTACACTGGACAAGCAAAGTGATCGTGGGAGATTTAAGGTGCATGTAGGACTCTTGAAGCATAGGTTGCAGATGGCAGGCAAAATGTTGAGGGGAAATCAATGACATCTGAACAGCTTACGTCCCTCTGCCAGACCACACATCGATTTGGCTGGTAGAGTTTCTTCTCCTGGAAATACAGTGAGAATTAGAGTACATCCATGGACAGTAGGGTTCAGAGCCTTTGGCTGAGGAAATGGATCAGTGAAACCTGATAGCTTAGGCTCCCAAATGGGTGCTATCCTTTAGGGAACAATGAAAAGTATGCCACTACAACAAGTAGAGTAGCCTAGTGACTAAGCACCAGCTTTGGACACAAATGACAAACATTTAAATGCTGGTTTTCCCACTCATTAGCTCTGAGGCCACATCTATCCAACTCACTGATCCTCCCTGAGTTTTGGTTTCTTATTAAGTAATTAGTTATGCTAGTGTTGTGAGAATTCAATCACATGCACACATGGGATTTTCCACCATACCTGCAACACAGAGTCCAAAGTGTTGAGTTCAATCTGAATGGCAAAAACTATAATTTTTCCATTTCCCCTTTGCAATGTGTCAGATCTACACTGCCATAAACCAAAGTTTTTGTTATCAGTTTGTCCTTCTCCCTCCCCCAACCCTTGCAAACTGTTTACTCTCAGCCCAAATATATGTATTTTTATACTCCAATTAAGAAACGTATCTTATTTTTCAGATAATGGTCTGTAAGTCTAATTCTCTCCTTAAAATTTCCTTAAAAATGTAATGCCCATAACCCATATGATGCTTTCCCAATAGGACAGAGGCCCAAGTCTTCTTGATCAGGGATCAAGTCAGCACAATAAGCACAGTCTAAGTTGAGTATACTCCTAGTTGACTTAAAAGTTCATCTATGTTTAAGATCACATTTTTTTACCTAATGTCATATGCCAACACACTGTGAAATGCCCTCGTTCCCCCAAATCACTCCTTTCCTCTCTGAATTCTGCTGCTCCTTGTTAATGCTTGTTCAGTGTGTCTGTCACCACTGTGTACTAGTGACTAAAACCAGAAGCCACAAAGTTGTTCCTGACTTCTTATCATCCACCCTGTCTGTTTAGTCACTCTGACCTATATATTTTACTGCCTCGTCAAGTTTAGAATCTTCCCTCCATTTTACTGCTTTAACTCTAGTTCTATTGCTCATTATCTCCTCATAGAACATAGAAGCAGCCTTATAGCTGCTTGTTGGTTCTTTCTGCTCTTATATCCCAGCTTTACACTGTAGCCAAAACAATTTATTTATATGAAAGATCTATATCTTGTCATTCCCTTAGTTGAAAAATCCTAATAGTTTCCCCATTTATTAGTAGCAAAATAAGTGAAATCCCAGGCCATTGTTAGAGGTCACTGTCTCTTGGTTCTTACTGCCTTCTTGTCCCCAATTTTATGCCTGAATAATATCAAGCAAACTTTACTTCCCCAGATACATACCATGCTATTTAACCCCTCTATGTTTTTATAAGTTGTGACCTCTGCTTGGATTTTCCTTCCTAATTATTTTTCATGTGTAACACCTCCTAATTTTTCAGGCTCAACTCAGAAAAATGCTTTTAAATCCCTAGAATAAGCTAAATATCATTCCTTTGTTCTTCCATAGAATCCTGTGTTTACTGATATTTGACTACATGCCACACTGCACTGACATAGCTTCTTCAGCCGTCAGGGTTTCACACAGTACTAACAACCTTTTGAAGATGAAGGACATATCCCAGTTTCTGCACTCCTCTAGGTAAGCATCAATTAGCTTTCGCTATCTAGATTCCCAGAAGTACTCAGGTTTCCAGTGTGTTCTCTCTACCTGTTTCTTCAGTTCAGTGAGCTACCCTAGGCCCTTCCAATAATTTATCTTTTTGAAACAGGAAAGTCAGAGTTAGCTTCTGCCACTTTCAGCCAAAGAGCCCCACTTATCAGTGTATTTCAGTTTTAAAAATATACTAACTTTCTAGCTTTCACATTACTCTTCAGAGTAAATTGTAGCCCCTAAAAACTTTTATTTGATGTTGACATGGACATGGACATCTACTGTAGATATAAATATACCTGTACATACATACATACAAATCTCAGGGTTACATCTCTCCCTTAATAAAATAGTGCCCCCTAGGAAAATCTTTCCCTTGAATGTAAGGTCCTCAGAGCAGAGTACATTTTTTACACCCTGTTGTATGTTAGCACTTAGGCAAGTACCCGGAATACAGTAGGACTTCAGTCATATCAGTTGATTGAGAGAATGAATGAGTGAATGCTCAAAATGATTCACTTTTCTTACAGTATTAAAAATACTGAGTCTGAGATAGAAAGACTGCATTTGCAAATATTGCTCAAAATATAAAATTGGTTTTCTGGATGATTCTTAGCTTTAAAATTTGTAATCAAATAGACTAACTTACTTTAAATCTTGACATATTTTGCCAAGATCAGTTGCAGAGTCTGACACCTAGATATTAAACTCCAACTTTGATTCCTCACCAGTCAATCTGTATGCAGAACTCAGGTAATAATTGGTACATAATAAAAACTTGGATAGAGACTTTCATTACCTGATTCACTTTTACATTCTCAGCTTTACTAAAAATTGATTCAATAGTTATTAAAAATAACTCTTTAGGTGGGTTTTATTTTGCTCCCTATACAGAGGTTTATAAAATGTGACAGAATGTCTCTAATGGAAACGATGAAAATCATGTGGCTTTCATGCATTTGAGCAGTAAAGGTATTTGTTTCTTCTTTTCCATAGAGTCAGAAAAATTTGTCATGTAATTCCAGAGTGATGTAAGGTGACCATTCACTTTCATTCATTAAGTGTCATCAAAAATAACATCTATCCATCCTCCATATACATATATATCTCAAATATGGAATCATATAAGTAGATGTAAATCATAGCCAGACAAACTACAACATGCAAAGATATGAAAGCATGAAGGCAACTTTCAGAGGAAATAAGGAGAAATCATAGTATTGCTCTGGAATGAACAAATTTTTCTTGTAGATTTTGTATAAAAACATGTTGTTTGTATTCTTTTGAAACTAAATATGTTTGACTCACCTTCATATAACCAGTCAGCAATCCCATTAAAAATTATTCCTTCTTTTCCAGAAGATGTCAGTCGCAATGAACTACTCTTTATATCAGGTTGATAGTAGATGTTATTTTCAAAAATATAAATCTGTATCAGGAAACATGTGAAACAAACAAAAAATGTGTTAGCATGCTATTTAAAACTTTAATATTATAGAATGATTTCTGAATAGCCAAGTTGTATTATTTAAATTCTTTCAGTTATTTTTTTTATTTACTGTATATATTTGCAATGCTTTCAATGATTAATGGCTGTTTCACTCCTTATTGTATCAAGTTGTCATTTGGAAAGTCCATGGCACTTGGTATTGGTGCGTTCCAATCTATATTTTTTGCAACAAGATTTCAAGTACTTAATCATCTCTCTCCATATAACAAAATTGGTTTGGCTTTGGGATAACATTTTGCATACTCAAGAGACTGATAATCGTAACTAGATACCATTTTAGTAATAGCCAAGTGACTGTTTGAAAAGCTTCAATTTGGAGCCTTTACTTTTATAAAATTGCATTTGGTGATCAATAAAATAATCTTTAGAGAATCTTTCTGATTCTATTGAGCTCAACTCACAAATTCACTGATGATAGAAGTGATTAAAAAAAAATTTCTTTGAACTGATGAGTGGAACACAGCTTCCTATGCACCAATCACCCTTGGCAACTTTTTCTTAAATAGCATAACAATAATAACATTGTGCCTGAGTTCAAGAAAGAGTTTTAATTTTAACATATCACAGGGTCTTCTAAAATAGTATACACAACTATAGCCCCAGCAACTGAAACAACAGAACAAATTAAACAATGTTTATCCATATAAAAGGATGTGTCAGGATAATTCAGGATAAAGATAATTCAGGATAAAATTATTTATAATTCACTTGGCAATGTCTTTAATGCCAAATGTTTAAAACTGCAGACCCCTATTGTATTATAACCTTCCACAGAAGCAGGTTTCTGTGGTTAAGTGCAGTAGAACATTGCCCAGGGCAAGCCAAATTGCTATTTAAATCAAACATTCTATTGTTAAGGTAAAGGATGTCCTAGGGCCCATGTATCCCAGCATACTATGAATCAATACACAATAGAAGATAGAGCAAACACAAGAACTTCCAAAACAACTGCCTGACTAATTATGAGGTTCTAGACTTTAAATCTTGGTGTGCACGATAACAAAAGCATTCTCAATATCCAATTTCATTGATATTTGATTTTTATTCTGGGGATTTAGCAAGCATTTATTGGTGGATGTATTTCATTAATCCTTTGACCACTACAACAGGGTCCTTTTTATTATATAGGTGAAAATTCCAATATCAGAATAAGAATTTGGAGAGAAAACCCCAAAAACAAAGAAAAGAGGGCAAAGCAGGGTGCTTAAATGCATGGACTTTATAGCAAGACAGGCTAAATTTAAAATCCCAGACCTTAATAATTTTCTTAACTTTTTAAAAATCTCAGTCTCTTATGTGGATAAGACTGTTACATACCTTACAGATCTGTGGTGAAGAATAAATTAGATGATGAATGTAAAAAACATAACACATGTGACTTTTACTAAAAGCAGGCCTGATTGTACATAAGATAACAAAGTTCAAATCTTAAGCAGTTAGGATTAGTTTTTGGCAGCTACAAATTCTAAATGAAGTCCTAGAATTACAGACATGAGCCACTGCATCCAGCAAAATGTGTGTGGTATATATAAACCATGGGGTACTACTCAGCCATAAAAAGAAACAAATTAATGTCTTTTGCAGCAATTTGGATGGAACTGGAGGTCACTATCCTAAGTGAAGTATCTCAAGAATGCAAAAACAAATACCCTATGTACTTTCTAATAATTAGGAACTAATCAATGGGTACACATGAGCACACAAAGAAGTAAAAAAAAAAAATCATTGGAAATCAAGAAGGGGGAGGAAGGGAGGTAGGGAGGAGTAAAAACCTACCTAACAGGTACAATGGACACTATTTGGTTGATGGGCACACTAACAGCCCTGACTTAAACATTATAAAAGCTATCCAAGTAACAAAATCATTTGTACACCCTTAATATTTTGAAATTAAAAAATAAAAAATAAACAAAATAAAACCTCTATAACTTCAGCCAATGTGTAAATTATCTCAAACTACTGGCAAGTAGTACATATTATGTTAGTGAAATGTGCACTAAGAGTAGCAGCAGGATAGTAGTAGCATTATTGGTAATAAGAAGGGGAGGAGAAGATGGAGGAGAGGTATTAACAAATGATATTTACTGCCTTTCCTCCAGTTAGAAATTTTTCAAGTGACACTGTTAAATATGAAATAAACTTATTATCAAAAGCATGTGAATGACACTTAGGCAAAAGTTTGAAAATTGTCTCTCATGTATCCTAACACTGACTAGAAGTTGGACTTGACGACTGTCACAATCCCTGATAACTGAGAAAGAAATATTAACTTTGTTCTAGCCCACTAAAGCATAGGCTGTCCATCTTTTTAATACTACCTCCTCCTGCCTCTCACAAACAGTATATGGGATAGGTGCACAGAACTTTCCTTACTTGGAAGCAATTCCCTTACTGTGCCTGACCCATCTATAGGACTAGGAGTAAGAACAGCACACATCATCCGTACTTGGGCTACTTAAACATATGTAGTGATTCTTAGGAGTCAAAATGTCTTCACTCAAAGTAATATGGTTCTAAATTCTCAGTTTTCCAAAGCGAACAAAGTTTAAGTCAAAATAATTAATAAAACCTCCACGACTACAGCAGATGTATAAATTATCTACAACTATTGACCAGTAATTACATTTATATTTGAAGAACAGATTGGATGACATTCAGAATCCATATGAAACTGACATCTGCTTCAGTGTAGAAGAACAAGCAATATGGAATCAGAATTTTAATGCCATTCTACTGAAAGCTGTAATACCAGAGAATGGCCATAAGATCTTTTTTTCCAGTGGATAGGAAATTATGGTTGCCTTCATGAAAATATGCATTTATAATCTCCTAACCTGTTTTCAATTATCAAAGTTGTTTCTTCAATTGTATTTGTTCCAAATAAAAATCACAAACTCTAACAACTACCTTGACAATTTGAGAGCTGCAAATATTCCCAGGTACTCTCTGGACATTCTGATGAAATTAAACTGAATCCAAATGGCAATCATCAGGGCTGCAAGTAGGTTTAAATCACATTGAAAATATGACAAACATTGATGTCATCTATCCTAATGTTATTGATTACACTGTCACAATATTTTCATATCATTAATCAATTCCTTCAATGAGCCACCAAAACAGCATAACAAATAAAAATGGATAGCTATTTGACCACTTAACTTTTCAATTTATAGAGAAAGTTGATTACCTAGTTTTCTAAAATCAATCATCTTAATTCACCCTGAAAAATAATTCCAAATTGATAAATTCACCACAATGGAAACAGAAGAGCCATTGAAATACTATGTGCTCAAGTATGCCAAGTTAAGAAACATGTAATAAATGTTCCAAGAAGTTGTCATTGCTGAGCAAGAGTCCTTAAGAGCCAATTTTCAACTTGCCACCTTACCCTTTTCCTGCCACAACTGCCAGCCAATGCTCCAGATGCTGGACACCCCAATAACCTGAATTGCTACATGGGGAAACATCAAGAAGACTCCTTCTCCACTCCCTTTTCCTCTCCCTCTCCCTCAACAAACTTGTGATGAGCAAATTGTAAGAGAAGAACATTTGTTATTAAAAGCCATTAAGATTTTGAGGGTTAGAGTTTCATAATGTATTAATAAATTAGCCTAATATGACCGATACAGCCTGTGACCATGGCTGATACAAACTTACAGCAGCAATGTCACAAACTTTTAGCCAGCTTAAAAGAAAAAGAAAAAAACGTAAAATAAAATGAATAAAATTGAACATTGGATCTATTTTAGCTGAAATATTACTGAAAAGCTATTCCATTTTTACTTAGTTGAGTGATTTTCATGACAATTCCAATTAGGAAACTGAATCATTCAAAAGTCTCCATGTATTCTAGTGGTGTCAGAGGATCTGTAAAGTTACAGTGGAGTTGGGTTAGTTTTTGGGTTGCCTTCTCCTGTGTCTTATAAAGAATCTCACAAAATTTTACCCTAAAATATGACTCCTTGGTATAAAGAATATTTTGAATTGAAGGCACTTAGAGATCAGCAGGCCCCTGGAAGGGGCTTTCCCTCTATCTGCTAAACCACATGGACCCATCAAAATAACAATGGACTTCCCTTCCCCTCCCTGTTATTTCAATATATTGCAGGAAATATGATCAAGAATGCAACCAGATCTGGCCCAAATCATTTTAAATATAGTACCTGTCTCACAGGTTAATTTAATTTACAAAGAGAATCATTTTACAAGTCAATGTTTCCCCCATCCATTCATCCTCCCTAGCAACTATTTGTTGCTCCTAAATAGAATTACTCTATCTCTCACATCCCCTTCACCTCTAAAAGGAGTGCATAAAAATATCTGTATCCTATTGTGATATTGAGTAATCACTCCATGATTTTCCCTGTGTGTACAGTAAATAAACCCCTTCCTTTTATTAATCTGTCTTAATTGTGACTTGACCTTTCAACAAACTCTCAGGGAAAAGGGAAATTTTCCCCATACTCCACACTTGCTTTCTGGGGAAAAAAAAATGTAATTAAGAAACTATCCCAGATAACATCTATTGCTGGCAGGGATGTGATGAAAGATGTCTTTTTCTAATTTAGTTGTGAAAACATAAAATGCTATGGTTGTTTAGGAAGTAATATGGCAATTGACAGCAAAATATATTCCATCTCACCAGCAATCTAAAACCTGGGACCTTGCTGTGTAGGAAAGCAAAAACAACAACAAGAACAATAAACACCAACAAATAGAGAACGATGAGCAGAGATGCTTATTTTGGCAGTGTTCATCAAGGCCCAAAGAAGAGTCAAAGTGAAAATTTGTCATACTTGAATGCCTGACTAGGTTAACTATTCACCCACACCATGTAAAGATTTGAAAAGAATAAAGATTTGAAGAGAATAAATGTGTCCTATGCAAGTTAACTTGGAAGAGCTTCATTGAAATAT